CTCTCTTTTTTTTTTTTTTTTTTTGCCTTTAGTTTACTAAACCCTAGGACAGAGCAATTCTGGTGACTAGATTTTGCATTCGGGTTTTACAAATGCAATCCTTTCTCCTAGGATCAAACAACAATTTGAATTAGGATTAGTCTTATGCAAAATTTGAGAATGTGGGGAATGAACAAACAAAGAGACCTGTTGGGTTGTTCTTCCTTCCCCTCATTCCCCAAAATCCTTGAACCATGGGCAAGGTGAAGATATGATTGATGCCTCCCTCCCTTTTCCTTATTGGAGACCATCAATATTGGAAAGTGTTTATTTTCATTGTTAAATGAAAAGTGATAAAAATCTCCATAGCAGCAAAGCACTAGTTATAATTTTTAGGGAAAACTGTTTCCGACTGAAGTGAAACTTGATAATGTGACTAATAATATGCATGTTAAGGTTGATGCACTGTTTTTTTTGAAGTTTGGATCTGTTTGAGAATGGGGTATTACATGTTATGGAGTAGAGTAGATTGTAGACATCGCTAGTGATCCAATGACAGACACAGTCTTGTTATTTTATCGTTGACCAATCCTCTTGTTGTATTCCATCATAAGTTTCTTGTGGTTGAAGCAGGATTTATACCTGGTGTTACATTTGATGAGATGAAGCTTGAGATTAAATTGGGTGTTCCACGATCTCTCCAACACATGCTAGACGTTGTGAAGGTCAAATCGGTCTTTCCATAGTAAGTAAATACAGCAACCAATTTAACAGCATGTACTTTTTGAAGGGTACCCAAATTAATATATTTCTTGATATGTGAAGCATATAACTTAATATTGTTTCCCTGAACACAACATTTGGCGAACAACATGTTTTTGAGCTTATGTAGCATTCATTCATGTTTGTTTGGTTATTCGAACGAACATAAATGAGACTTGTGTGAAGGCTCGCTTATTAAACAAACAGAACTTGAAAAGCTCGTCTGGACAGCTTGGCTCGAATATTTTTCGTTCGTTTTGTAAATAAACGATCATGAATCAGCTCATACTGGGTCGGTTACAACCCTATACTTATTCGCTAGCAAAACAAACAGATGCAGTAGCCATCCAGCAATGTGCAGGGAGGATAATAATCAACACTACGGAAAATGTTGCTTCAAACTTCATTTCCAACATTAAATAAGGAACAATAAAGATATCAGATTTAATGCATGTAAAACAAATAAGAACAGAACCAATAAAATTGATTTTATTTTTATTACTAGATGTGTGAACATACAACTTGTATGTTCTTATTTTCAAATCATGAACTTCCTTACTAATAATTGTTTGGTGTTCTATTTTCATGATGCTCAATGACAGTGGAAAAATTACAAATGTTGAGGTTGTTGATGGCGGACTAATATGCTCAAGCGGTGTACATGTTGAAGAGATGGGAGATAAGAATGACGATTGTTATATAGTAAATGCAGCTGTTTATGTTGGTTATTGATCTTTTTTACATTCTTAAAGGTCAGATCTATTCTCTCCATTACTGTTTTTTGCGTGCCAACTTCATATGAAATGAAATTCAATGCCTTAAATTTCTGTTATATATAAAGGATGAAAAATTAGCAAGGATATCTTATGTGTGAGGGATGGATGAAGATAACTGATTGCTTGTGTATACATCTTTGTATGAATGATCATATAAACTGTGGATGTACTTATTATAGTCACTTTTGAATATCATGGCGTACACTTACGATTTGTGATATCCCTTATGATATGTGTTACACAGTACACTTATAACTTTAAGGATCAAAGAGTTACAAATTTAGTTCTTTGGAGGGAAGTTGTGAAGCCTAATTTATCAAAAGAAGAAAAAGACGTATACTCATAAATGAATGAGTTTACTTGAGAATCAATGAATTTACAACCAATGCTTATCCGCATGATCAATGAGTGGAATGTTATTTGATTTTACAATGGTAAGGAGAACAACAAGTTAAGGAGGGGACTTGAAAAAAACATCATCTTCATCATCATTGTAATAGAGATGCATATAAGAGGTGGTTCCAGGTATCAGGGACTCCAGGAAGGCACCAATGGCTGCAATCCAAGCCCGGGTGGTTCCCGCTGTAATTCGACGGGTGTGCGTCTTTCCTCAACTCTGATAACAGCGTGATGTCAAGCAGATAAACCGGTTTGCGGATTCCATTCAAGACTTTCTTAACCACTTCTTCAGGTCCACTTGCTTCTCCTGCTGCTGGATACATTGATCCTTCTACTGGCAATTTCTCGCCTCTACAGGTCTTGCTTGGTGAGCCCCACTCCTTACCCCTATATATATGTGTGTTATAGGAATAATGGGTTATTGATTAATTAACATGAGAAGCAACATGTAGGTCAAAAAGGGTATTGATATCATATATTTGTGTGCTTACATATAATGTGAAGGGGAAATTCCCATGAAATAGACTTTGGTCCTCTGAGGATCAACATTCTGATCAACCCATTTTCCCCAAGTTGTTAATCCTTTGTGGAATGCTTCCAAACGGTCCATATCTTGGTATGAATTTGTCCCATCTTGGACAAAATTCCATCTTCCAAATAGAAAAAAAAAGTCAAAAAAGAAGAAAACTTTGATCACACTGAAATCAAAATAGTCTGGAATAAATGGGTATATAGAAAGGGAGGGAAAAAGAGAGAGGATCTAACGGTTGAGATGTTCCGGTGTGAGTCCACCAGTGCCAAGAGTTGAAGATGAGAACATCCATTGATTTCCATACATCTCCCCCTTGTTGGATGGAGTCCAAGTTCAATACCATACCTTTAGTTTCCTTTACTAAATCCACCAAGTAATTTGAGTGATAGAAATGTATTGTTAGGTCATAATCCTGCAACAAGTTGCATTTAGATGAATCCACAAGTATTCAAGATTTTGTGCTCCAGAATTTACAACTTCATTACCAAATCAATCGTCGTTATGTTTGCGATCTTCCTTTTTTTTAAATATGGAAATGGTTTTTTTCTCAAGTACATTTACATTTACTAGTTAGCACATTCTCAATCTTGTATCAGCAGCAGAGTGACTACAATTTTATCCTCAATTGCTTCTACCACACATATAAGCACACCATACTACAAGCAAAAGGGTGTTTTTTATTGCTTGGCAATAATTTCACTTTTTTGTGATAGCATTTTGAAAATGTTGCCTCGGTAGCGTTTTTCAAAATTAATCTGCACTATAAAAAAATTAACCAAAATGCCAACTGGAAATAGTGTTTCTAAACTAGGTCTATGTTTGAGAACTAACTCTTGAGTTTCTATTCTACATCACCAAAATATAAGTTTGAATGTTTTGTACTCCCTCCGTCCCAAATTATAATGCCTGTTCACTATTCACAGGGTCAAACTTTATTCACTTTCTTTCTCTATTTTCGTTAGCAAATTGATAAAATAAAATATTGTTGTCACTACTAGTTTTGTAGATCTTTTGATGTAGTATTTTGATATGTAATTTTTATTTTTTAATTCTATACTATTTGTCATATAAAATGATTTGAAAATAATTTCAGTCAAACATCGTAAACCGAAACAAGCGTTATAAAATGGGACATAGGGAGTAATTTGTTTGAACTTATGGATTATAGCTTGAGAGATGTAAATTGACCTCTATAAATACTTTTCAGCAAAACTAAGATTAAATCATTGCTAAATCGGATTTACCACTCCTACTTTTCCAAGAAAGAATTTATAACTTATTCTAGTTTAAAAAGATTATTGCTTTCAAATGGTCTTAAGATTTTTTTTCTTGTAAATAAATTACATTCGTACAATTTTATTTTCTTGATAATCTTACGAGTAAAATTAAATATGACTATGCGTAGTATAGGACCCTTGCAGATATAGTGGTCAGATCACACTCATGTATCAGAGTGAGATTAGAATTCAATATATTTCCTTCCAAATATCTGGAAAAAAGGATGATTTTTTAAAGAAAAAAGAATTTTCCCCATTTTGCATTGACCTCGATATTGTACCCCTCTGCCTAGAAATGGTCTTTTTATTTGACTTTTTTGGTCAAAATATGTAAATTTTGACATTGATATATGAAAAAAAATAGATTGTGTTTCGATATAAATATAATATCATTGTTTTCTTTGTGAAACATGAGTTTAAAATATTAAATTTTCATATCATATATCCATTTATAATTATAAATACACTATAGTTCTTTTGACCTTGAAACCTCGAGTCATATTATGACACGAGGCATTTACGGTACTGCGTTTGTAAAATTGATGGTTCCTACTTCCCTAAGCCCCCATGAACCCTATCCCACCCTCTACCTGTCCACCCACCATAGCACATCCCTGCCCCCTTGCAATCGACAAAATGGAGGGGGGCAGGGGATGCTGTGGTGGGGTGGATAGGTAAGAGGCAGAGGGTAGGAATCATTAATTTTATAAATGGAGTAGTGTAAGTGTCTCGAGTCATATTATTTTCCGAGGTCAAAAGGTTCTTACTGTTATACTTCCTCCGTCCCAAATTATAGTGCATGTTTACTATTCATTAGATCAAACTTCATTCACTTTCTTTCTCTATTTATGCTAGCAATTTGATAAAATAAAGTATTATTATCACTATCAGTTTTATAGATTTTTGGATGTAGTATTTAAATATATAATTTTTATTTTTTTAACTCTATACTATTTTTCATATAAAATAATTTGAAAATAATTTTAGTTAAACATCGTAAATCAAAACAGACACTAAAATTGGAAAGGAGTAAATGTAAATAGTCAAAATGTTAAAGTCTAATGGCAGAGCATTTTGGGGAAATTTCGGGGAAATGGGAATTACCCAATATGTTGCGGTCCACTTACGGGACTGCTGTTTTTTTTGGCGTCTTCGTCGTTTTTCTCAAATCAATCATTGTGTTTTTAAATTTTTAAGCCTGTGAACTTCTTCAACTATTGGCTCCCAAATAGGCGAAGCACGGATCAAAAAAAAATTTTAAAAATAAAACATGCCACATGGATTGCCAGGTAAATTATCTTGACTTCTTTTTCGAGGAGGGGATGCGCCAATGATTTTAAGGAGTATTTATTTATATATTTACTCATAAAATAAAATATTTTTATCACATCTTGTTTTTTAAAATTTTTAATGTTTTTTCAAAATACTTGGTATATAATTTATACATTTTATTTCTATATGATTAGGAAGTTAGATCAACAGATCAACCCGGCCAAGATATACCCTACGGTGCAAAAGGCAAGTTGAACCTAGATATTATCCTTCTTAGATTCTCTATTGACCAACTAAAGGTCTAAAGTTGAATGAGCTTTTAATTACTAGAAGGATCATTTCACATTGACACACTTTGCTCTATTCGGGTCGAAAGTGATTCTTACACCAAACTCTTTTTACTCTCTCTTCACATTCTAGCTTGTCGATTGGCAACATTGTTATCGTTACTTGCCAATGACCGGGGTCAAGGAGAATTTTCGGCCCTTAGCAATGACGAAGTAATTAATTGGATTTTGCTAGGGATACACCCATTATTTCTTACTAATATACATAGACGATAAATGCATGTGACCGCACACACTATTAACAAGTGTCTCTGACGGCACAGACTATGACAAATGTGGTATATAATTAATTTTAAAATGTTAGTGTACCCTTGACTCTTTTTTTTTTTTGTAATTAATTTGAAATACTACTTGTTAATTAAGAAAAGGAATATACTTGTAATTTTTTAAAAAAAAACAAAGTGGAGGACACACACCTTGAAGGTAACATAGGGAATGGGGGCGTTCCTGGCATAGGAAAAGGAAGCCCTTGCGGCGGCGGCGACGGCGGCGGAATGAAGCATGCAAGCCATTGACTGCCACATGTTCAGACTCAGTGAGTCGCCCACATACATTATCCTCTTCCCCCTCCATCTCTTCAACAAATCCCCTCCCTCGAATCTGCACCACCCATTTTAATTCTCACACCACAGCAAGATTAAGCATTAATTTTAGAGAAATTTACCTAAATAGGACTAAAACATAATGACTTTCCCAATATAAGAGCATATGTTTTTATTTTCCAATGTAGGACTTTTGGTCATTATCAAGTAGTCATTATTCAATTAAATGTCCATCATTACTAGACATTATTCCTTTCACTAGGTCATTATTAAGTCTTATTTAGGGAATAAAAAAGTTTAAGTCCCACATTAGGAAAGTCATTATATTTTAGTCCTATTTAGTGCAAATTTCACTTAATTTTAATCCTTTCCTGAAACAAATGAGGAAAAGTTTCACTAATTAAATTACCTGGGGAGGCTGCAAGATCCGGCGGCGGCGGCGGCGGCGGGTTTCCACGCGTAATAGAGGAAGGATTTATCCGGGCGTCCATATTTAAGGCAGTCGAATTGAGGGTCGATAAATGGGCAGCCATTATTGTTGTAGAGAGGATAGGTTCCATCCGCCGCCCATTTCCCGTAGAACAGGTTGCAACCGCCGCCGGCGTATCCCGTCGGGTTATATGCTAACAGTAACTCCTCTGCTGCCCCTGCCCCTGCCGCCGCCGCCACTGAAATAAAGATCATCAATCCGACGCCGCACGCGGCTGATGACATGGCCAATCTATAACCAATCATACTTATATCACTTATTACGGATGAGATGAGAAGAAATACAGACTGGTTAATTAGTACTGTATATACCCAACAAGGTGAATCGAAGAAGAATGAAGATTATTCATTCATTCATGACATATGCGGCGGCTTTTATTCTCTTTGCTAGCTGGCTAGTTAAATCTACATTTTAAAAATTTACTTCATCCTCTCCGGTCTCCACAAATTTTACCTTCTTTCTTTCTTTTTCTTTGAACATTTCAAAGAGTATTTTCTATTTGAGCAATGATTTGGGTTACCAAAAGTGTACTCCGATCCATATATACTTCTACCGTCCCAAAATGATGGTCACATTTGTTTTTTAAACAGTCACAAGAACTTTTGTTTATTAAACAGTCAAAAATAAAATATTTTTGACACATCTTATTTTGAAGAATTTTTCATGTATTTTAAAATATGTAAATTTTATTTTTATTTATAGACCAATATTTAAATAAAATAATTTGAAAAAACTTTGATATTTTGCTTTATTTTTAGAAATGTGGTGAACATTTATTGACGAATGAAGTATATGACATAAGCCACATGTTCTTCTTCAACTAAACATAATTCACTTTATTTAATTTGTTAAGATACTACTCTCCGGTATATGACAAAATACAAAAGAGTGAATTTTCTAAATAGTCTTTTATAAGTAGATTTTTCATATTTAATCTATATTTATCAAATATTCTCTTGACATTTTTTATTACTCCCTCCGTCCCCCTTAGATGTTCTCATTTTGACTTTTGGTGGTTTTTAATGAGAGTTGAAAAAAGGTGAAAGTTTACCATAATACCCTTAATGAAAAATGGGTGGAGTGTATTAAATGAGTTGGGTGAGGTGTAATAAATAAAGTAAGTGGGAGTAGTTGTGGTATTTTAATTGTTAAAAAATGAAATGAGAAGATCTATTGTGGACAAAGAAAAAGGGCTATTGGGAAGATCTATGGGAGACGGAGGGAGTATTAAATAAGTATTACTCCCTCCGTTCCTGAGTGTTTGTCCACTTTCATTTTTACACACCATCCAATGCATTTTTTTAATCCATTTTATCTTGTAATTTGTATATTAAAAAATTATAAAAATTATATATTAATAATCTATATGTTAAGACGAATCAAACAAGATCACACATGACTATTTTTAGGCTTACACATTGAGAGAATTTGATGAGTCAAAGTGCTTAGATGAACAGTTCCAAAAGTCAAAAGTGGGCAAACACTCAATTAAGGACGGACCAAGTATTTCACATTTGACCCTCCTCTATTTTCTGTCTTTGTACCGTTAGGCAAAAACTAAACGTGAAATAATACTTAATTAATAAGGACCGCAAACATAATATTAGGGTCCATTTAGAAAGGGGGAAAATGAGTAAAACGATTATCGGAAAATGACTTTTAGAAAATGAGGTATTTTCTAAAAGTCATTTTCCTTATTTTGTTGTTTGGCTACCATGAACAGAAAATGAAATTACCTCAGATTTTAAGATGGGGATAGCTATTTGCGCTTCAAGATCCAAAACTCACCCTTCTAGATCCATTCATCTACACCATGGCAAAAGGCAATTTACCTTTGAGAAGCAACTACTTCGATCTAAATCTGTGAGGAGCACCTACAATTTCATAGACAATGGTGATTTGCGTTGGATTTGTGGGGGCGAAGGAATGTGGTGGTGATTTTCGACGGAGAAGCGCAGACTCCGATCTGATTTGCAAATTCCGGCGCAACTACAATTTGTTCCAAGATGATGTTTGAAAATGGAGATAGAAGAGGTGCGAGGGAGTGCATAGCGCAAGGAAGCTAAGGAAGAAGGCGGAAATCAACTACCGAAAAGAAGGCGGAAGTCAAATTCCAGATTTTGGGTTCATTTTCCTGTGACCTCCTCTCATTTTACTTTGACTCTGTTTCCAAACACCATAAAATGAGAAAAATGACTTCCGGAAGTCATTTTTCTCCTCTCCAAACGGACCCTTAGATAAATATGGACTAAATATAAAAAAACTTCTGGTTATAAAGGACTATTTAGATAATTTGATATTTTCAAACCACTTTTAATATAGAATTGAAGTTAATAAATATGAAAAATGTATTATTGTAGTTTATTCATAAAAGATCAAAATTCGTATACCATAAAAAATAGTTTACAAAAAATTTTATTTTTTTAATATGATAATCAGTTTAGAATGGATAAAAATAAAAAAGAAATAAGGAGTCATCCCAAATGAGAGTAACACATACTCCGTAGCATTTATCATCAAACCAAGAGTTCCATTTTTATTTCTTCAAAATCAAAATTATTTATATTGTAATATTATGACACTGTATACTTGCATCTCATTGTATTTTTTGGTAAATATATTGGCATTATTAGAATTGTATTCTATATTGGAGATAAAAATATGAAATTCCTATTTTGGTACTCTCTTCATGTTTTTTTTGAGAAATAATCATGTTTTATTTCTAGTTTAGTTTCTTTTCCAAAAGAAATTAAAAGTTATTAATCCATTTTAACAACACCAATCCATTTTTGGTAAATTATTTTTTTATGGTGTAAAAATTTTGACTTTTTATGAATAAACTACAACCACACACTTTTCATATTTATTAACTTATATATTAAAAGTGGTTTTAAAAGAATAAATTTTCTAAATAGTCCTTTATAATTGGTAGTTTTGATATATAGTCTATCTAAATCAAATATTATGTTTGTGGTCCTTATTAATTTGGTATCATTCCATATTTAGTCTTCGTGTAACAGCACAGAGACGGAAAAATAAACGGAGGACCAAACGTGGAATATAATGGCACCCAATTAATAAGGTTATAAGGACTTTCAACATAATAATTGATAAATACTACGGTATAAACTAAATCCGAAAAAATCTCAGTTATAAAGGATTATTTATAGAATTTACTCAATATAAAATGTAACACATTAAAAGTTTTTTTTAAAAACAAATGACATACTTAATAAAGATGTATATATATATGATAAAATTATATATATACAATACGTGTAGTTCTTTTAATTAAATACTCAGAAATTGAAGTTTCATAAAAATTAAATATTAAGGCATTATCGATAATGTCATAAAGAGTTAATGACTCTAATGTACTCTCTCCGTCCCCCATAGATCTTCCCATTAGCTCTTTTTCTTTGTCCCATATAGATCTTCTCATTTCATTTTTTAACAATTAAAATACCACAACTACCCCCACTTACTTTATTTAATACATCTTTTCCACCTTATTTAATACACCCCACCCATTTTCATTAAGGGTATTTTGGTAAACTTTCACCTTTTTTCAACTTTCCTTAAAAACCAAAAAAAGTCAAAACGAGAAGATCTTAGGGGGACGGAGGGAGTATTATAAATACATGAATGGTTGTTCTACAAATAAATCAAACTTTAATTATAATGAATTTTCTTACTCCATAAAAAAGTTATTTAAAAAAAAGAAAGTTAAATATGAAAATCAAAAAATTGCAAGATAAAAGTTGTCGTAATAGATAATATATACTCCCTCCGTCCCAAAAAGATTTACACCTTTCAAAAAAATTACGTACCACAATCTCCTACCCATTTTTATTAAAAAATCACTTTTCCCCTTACTTTTTCAAACCCTACCTATCACATCATACTTTTTTCCTAATAATCTACACATCACATTCTACTTTTACCCATCACATCAAGGGTATTTTTGGAAAGTTAACACAAAATTATCCCTCCCTTAATTTCAACTTTAGTCAAAACGTGTAAATCTTTTTGGGACGGAGGTACTAGTATATTATTACCTAGCATGACATTTAGCAACACCTGACATAAGAAACACCTGTAATAATATTTGGGTATTTGGGATTGGTAGAAGAAATCTTATCAGGCTACAAATGACATGATTTTTGGCAAAAAAAATCTATAAATGTGTGTTTGTGTGCGCGCACACACACATGCATATAATAGTATGGCTGCAATTACAATAGTACTCCCTCCATCACAAATTATGAATGTCATTTCTCCTCCGTGAGTAACGTGCTACGATGAATACGTGAACTTTCATTTGAGCATCACCCAAAAGTCAAGACGATAACATATTTATGGGACTAAGAAAGTATTAATCACTTTGACCGTGTATGTCAACTATTGGATACGAGCTGTGGTTTTTCTTTCTTTCTTCACATTCTTTGAATGTGAGAACAAAGCGAATGGACCCTATGTGATAAAACTCGCAAATTATATTATACAACCGGCTGTACCCAAAGTTGGGTACAACCAGCTTAAAAATTACTGCGAAGAGGCCTGCGATTACTGCGGCAAGAGAAGTCTATGAAGAGGAGCAATTACTGCGACCAACGATTTTGGATCGGAGGAGAAGTGCCGATGAAGAGAGGGCGACGAAGAAGAGGCCTGCAATTTTGGATCGAAGGAGAGGTCACTGCATGTAATGGATGAATGTGGTCGCGGCAACCCTAGCGGACGGCCGACGGCTCTAAAGTTATCTCAGCATTTGCATTGCTGACTTTTGCATCGGTTCACAACCGATTTAAAAAGGTAAAAATAACCGATTCAAAAGGTTTTTTTTTGTAGTAGTGAGCTGTGATTCCTTATATTATATCAAGATGACGGAGAGGATGCTACAACTAACTCTATATAAGACCAAAAATGGCTAGCTACAAATATAACTCCTCTACTACAATCTTGTTTGTTAAAAAATAAAGCCAATATGAGTTATACAACTCAACTACATAAGAACAAGGAGAACAACCCAAGAAACTAACTACGGGAAGAGCGGGAGCCCCTCCTTATTTTCCCTTTCTGATTTTCTACGTTTCTTTTTCTATTGATCTCTTTTGCTTCTTTCTTCTTTCTTTTTTCGTGTTGCTTCTTCTTTTATCTTTTTTGTTGCTTCTTTTAATTTTTTATTTTTATTTTTTAATTTTTTTTCATTTTTTAAGTTTTGAGTTTTTGAAATTTTTTTAGTTATTAATCTTTTTATTTCTTTTTTATTTTTAGTTTTGTATTATAAAATTGTGTTTTATGTGTTTAGTTTAATTATTTAAATATATTAAGTATTAAAAAATAATATTAAAATTTGAAAAAGTAAATTTTATTGTTTTATTGTTTTTATTTTGAATTATTTAAATTAAAATTAGTGTTAAAAAAAATAATAAAATTGAAGGGGAAAGGGGAAGGTATTTCTTTGGAAAGGGGAGAAACGAAAAAGGGAAAGTAAAAAGCTGACGCAGTATTGAGTCGGAAGAAGGAGAGAAAGAGAAGAGGCAAAGCACACCTCATGGCCTAACAATTAAGAGAATGGAGTGAAAGATGATCCAAACAATTATAAGTATGATACATCTAAATTAACTTATTAAGGCAAATTCTATGGTGGACCTACATATGAGCAAAATAAATATTTGTTTACTATTTAAATAGGCATTTATTTTTTCAAATAGAAAAATAAAAAAAATTTATGTGAAAAAGTCCACAAAATTGATATACACCCAAGATATACCAAAGAAATACTCCTAACTTAAAGTTCAAATAATTTCGTATGAACTTGTAGATCAAGATAATAACTAAATGCTTATACAAAAAGAGGGTTGGACCTTTGGTCCATTAAGAGCTTGTTGTTTTAACTTCTTATTATCTATTAGTTTGTTTAAGTATATTCGTTCAATTTGATTTTTCGACTCGAATTGAACTGGATGAATTTTAGACCTCAATTAAAAAAATGGTAATGTATAGTAGTTTAATATAAGAACTGTTTGAATAAATTTATCTTATTGAAAATTATTTAAATTTTAATTTATTGTATAAATATGTAAGGTGATAACAATGTAATGTTGACAGTGTGATCAATCAATTGTCTATGATCTGCGACAGCACTCTGATGGCCGGCAATGACGGATGACAATATGACAGTGGTAGTGTGTCGGTTGCAATGTGATAATGTGTTGAGTGTGGCAATGTGATATGTGAGAGGGTCTTTTTTTAAGGCGAATGGCGATGAGGGCGGCAAAAAGGCAATCTTGGGGCATACACCCTCATACATAAAATATATACTGCATTGCAATTGTTGAAATATTGGAATAATAATATTGCTTCTTGAATTATGAAGTACATGATAGAGTATATATAAGAGATACTTCTAACACAACTAGGAATAGAAAATGGAGACTAATTAAAATACAGCATCTACTACAAATAGGAATAGGAAGCTGACTAATAATCAAACACTACCATAACCAATACTACCAGAAGTAATATTAGTATTATTGTCTAACATCCCCCTTAAGTTGAACTCTGGCTGAAGCAAGAGGAAGCCTGGACACTAGCTAAAAACTGGAAACTTTGAGAAGAGAGAAGTCTGACGTGCGCCGATGGTGACTGACGTCATTAGAAAAGAGAGAAGTCTGACGTGCGCCGGTGGCTGCTGACGTCGTTGGAGAAGAGATAAGTCTGACGTGCGCCGGTGGATGCTGATGTCGTTGGAGAAGAAAGAAGCTTGACGTGCGCTGGTAGCTGCTGACATCGAAGAGGAAGAGAGAAGGTTGACATGCGCTTGTAGCTGCTGACGTCAAAGAAGAATAGAGAATGCTACTGGAGGTGCCTATTTGACTGAAGATCTTAGACATTTTTGTCTTTTTCTTGGATCCGGGCAATGCTCTATTTCCTTCTTGAATGAGTGAGTTGTTGAGGTATTTTTTCCTCTTTCACTACTTCCCCTCTTGGCTTCACTTTTGTGCTGATTTACTTTGGATTTTTATTGGTTCAACAAAAGAGAAAGAGAAGGGAGGTTAAGAATTGGTGATGGAAAAAAGATTTGGGTATAAGATTTTGATATGGTGAATTAGAGATAAACAACAATAATTTTTTTTCCTTTTTTTGAGAAGATAGGATGAGTTGAGAGAGTTTGTGAGGAGTTAGAGTTTTTTTTTTTGAAAAACCATGGAGATGACAAAAGAGAAGTTCCTCTTTTGATGGTTTTTTTGTATGATTTCAACAGGGATTTTTTTTTCATTTTTTTCATTTGAATGGAGAAGTTGATTTGAGGATAAAAGAAGGAAAAGAAAATAGAGGTGAATAGGGTGGAGCCTCCGTCGCCGGAATTACCGGCGGCGACGACGGAAGCAAAGATCGAACTCTTTTAGATCACCAAAAGCGGTGGCTCTGATACCATGTTAAAATATTGGAATAATAATATTGCTTCTTGAATTATGAAGTACATGATAGAGTATATATAAGAGAGACTCCTAACACAACTAGGATAGAGAATGAAGACTAACTAAAATACAACATTTACCACAAATAGAAATAGGAAGCTAACTAATAATCAAACACTATCATAACCAATACTACCAGAAGTAATATTAGTATTATGGTCTAACAGCAATCTCAAACAAGTAGTACATGTTAAACAATTTAAAACAATTAGAGTAGTTACTACATATATTTCTAAAAGAAGAGTATTTAATATACAGAAATGTGTATAAAAAACGGCAGCTCATTTTTTATAAAGGCTATAGCCAATAAGGCAAGAAAGGCGAACAACTCAGACGAGAGACGAGAAAGGCAGACAACTCAGGCAAATTTAAATTAAAAATGAATCCAACATTATTAAATTACTCGGCCGGCGAGATATTCAAGATCATTACACCATTATAATCAATATATATAATTTTAATTTTTACAAAACAAACTCGAATAAAAAACATTTAGGACAGGTGAATTTTTTGAAAGTTTGGTACTCCATCCGTGTGGAAATGTTTTTCACATTTAGCTTTTGCCAAAGTTTATAAATTTTGACTCCGATTTATGGAAAAATATACTCCCTCCGTCCCTAATTTGATTACAAATTATGGATTAAAATTTCTTACTTTTTGAAATCATTTTATTTACAAATTGGTATATTAAGAAGATATAAAAATTACATATTAAAAAACTACGTGAAAAGTTCTACAAAACAAGAGGTGACAAGAATATTTTATTTTATCAAATACTTAATGAAATCGCGTAAACAAACAAAAGTTATCGAGAGGAGAGAAAAAAAATTGTAATCTATTTAGGGACGGATGGAGTTTTATATTATGATATAAATTTAATATCAACATATTCCTAATAAAATGTAGTTTTCAAATGCCAAATTTTTATAAAATAGACTACCTCCGTCCCGCTTTGTTTGTCCACTTTTGACTTTTGGAATTGTTCATCTAAGTACTTTGACTCATCAAATTCTCTCAATGTGTAAGTCTAAATATAGTCATGTGTGATCTTGTTTGATTTGTCTTAACATATAGATTATTAATATATAATTTCTATAATTTTTTAATATACAAATTACAAGATAAAATGGATTAAAGAAATGCATTGGATGATGTGTAAAAATGAAAGAGGACAAATACTTTGGGACGGAGGGAGTATATACTCCGTAGTTGTGTATAAATATATTTACTACGAATGGAGTATAAACTTTTGTATTAAAACGGGGAAATATATGGAAGTAAATTTTAAGATACACATTCTTAGAATTTACGTGTATAAAGGTACAAAAGAATAACATGACGAATAAAGTCGTAAAAATCAATATAGAGGTCAGTGAGGAAAAAGTCATGAAAGAATCTTTTTCAGAACACGACGTATGAATCCAAGTTGTAAAAATCAATTTAATTAAGGGTCAAGGTGAAAAAGTCATGCAAGAATGATCCTCCATATCATTCATGATCATTGCTTATTAATAATTGGAACTAGCTAGATTAATGGAATAAATTCCAATTTGGGTGGTGTTTATTTTATCTCTTTTTTACTTGTCTCAATTTACCATACTCCATTGAATTTTCTAAGATTCATTTTTTCAAAATGGCATAATTAAAATTGAAATTATAAAAACTTATACATTTAGGCTCCATTCATTTGGATTGAAAAGGTTAACTTCAAAATTTTTCTAACTTCTTCACTTTCTTCCAGTTTCTTCAAGCTTAGTGCTTGGGTGGGAATATTTGGAAAAGCATAGTGCTTGGATGGGAATGTTTGGGAAAGCGTGCTAGTGCAGAGGAATCTAGCCTGGCCTAGTCACTTCCAAGCCGCTACCGTCCAACTTTGTTGGGTTGTCATCATGTACAAGTCACTACAAGTCCCAAAAATGCTCCTGGTCAGTTCCTCGAAGGGCTGTCTTGCTCACTTGAAAATCCTCCGCGATGACAAGCTACCTGAACGGTCGCCCAAGTAGTCACCCGAGTGGTTTTTTGAAGGACGGTATCTGATCGTTTGATGATTTGATCGTGTCATGCCACTCGACCAGTCACCCACGGGTCACCCGGCCGGGTGGTCAGGTTAGACTCGACCCAGGTCGTGGACAGATTCGCCCAAACTGTCCGAGTGCGCATTGTTTGGGCCTTGCCCGGTTGGTCTCATCTCCGTTCAATCATGCAGGGTCATTATCATGTTAGTACACCAAGCCCTGAAAATTCACCCGGTTGGTTTCCTAAAGGGGATATCTTGATCATTCGAGGATCTTCTCTGCAATGCCATGCTACGTGACCAGTCGCCTGAAAGTAATCCGGATGATCTACATCCAGGACCTGGTCATGTACAGATCTACTCAAGCTACCTGGTTGCATATTATTTGGGGTTCACCCAGTTGTTCCTGGCTGGACCCAACCCGGGTTGTGGCTTGGGTGGAATACACCCATCACAAGATAAATACGACTGGATTAACGTGGCAGGTCTATTGTCGTCGTACAAGGTTGGAATCCACTTGGGTGGGTTTTGGTCCAAAGCTATCCAGGCAATGGTATATCATCCTTTTCACCCAGTCATGTATGTTGCACCAGGGTAGTCTTCGGGACACTCTGACCAGGTCACTACACTTTGCTTTCTCTGCTACTGTTACGTCGAGTAGGTGCATGAGACCCAATTCAACATGGTAAGGTTACCTCTGCACGGCTAAGCCCGAGTAAACTCTGAAGGTCAAGCTAGCTGCCTGCATTGGCGGATCTACCAAGAAGCTTTGGGGGCATGTGCCCCGAGTGAAATTGGCCTTGTTAGTGTAAAAAGAAATACTATGGGTATTTTTCTTTGAGTTATTACATAGAGTGCCCCACCAACAAAATGATGTGTCCCCAGTAAGTTTGCTAACTCAGATGTTCAAGCCCAAAAAAAAGAAATTATTAGAGAGTATCTCACATCGAAAAAGTGTGAAGATAATGATCTGTATATAAGCTCTTGAGTTGAATTAAGTAATCGATTGAATTTAATCTTTTAATGTGATTCAGTTCATGCCCAATCTAATGATCCATACCCCATGACGGCGAGTGTGTGTTCGTAATGGTAAAATTAATCATATCTTGTTTTAAAGGGCTCAGTTAATCTATATAGTTGTGCAACGATCTTTGAACGAGCACTTGAGACTTTTGTTTCAATTTCTTCGATGGTTTATGTTGTACTCAATTAATTATTTTTTCACATTAGAACTTTTTAGTTTAATTTTGTTGAATGATTTGTTTCGCATATAATTTATTACTCTCTCTGTCACATAATTGATAACAGAATTCAAAAAGATATCTAAAATTTCGTGTGTTAAATTTATTTTATTTATAAATTGATATAAAAATAAAAAATACACCTTATTTTGTACGAATAAAAAAAACGCTAACGCCAAACGCTGCCAATAGCCTTTTCAAAACGTTAACGCCTAAGGGCCTGTTTGGGAATAGGTTTAGCGATTAGCGTTAGCGTTTTGAAAAGACTATCAACGAGCAGCGTTTAGCGTTAGCGTTTTCAAAGTAATCTGCACCGTTAAAATTTTATCCAAAACGCTAACGCTAATCTCTAATGCTATTCCGAGTATCATCCGTACGTCTCAAACTACCCCTTAGTCTCCGTAATCCACACCCGGAAAAAAAGACCGGATAAGGCTGCAAAGCGCTAAAAAGAGAGAAGGGTTTGTGGTCCGTGGAAGGAGCAACAATGGCAGCCATTCCGTTAGGAACCTGGCTCTGCGCAGGAGTTGGACAAAGGTCTGGACCCTCCGCAGCAGCTTCTCTCTCGCCCATCTCTGGTTCGAGAACATCATCTTCCTCCGTCTCTCTCAAGGTCAATGCCCTTAAGCCCAACTCTCCTTCCCCGTTCCTTCACTGCTCCTTTCTCTCTGCTTATTCCTCGCTCTCTAGCTCATCCGCTTCCTCCTTCTCAGGTAAACAAAGTAATTTTGTTCGGTTTTTCGATCTTGTGTGGTTGTTTCGCTATGATTGGGGTGTTGATGCATTTCAATGTTTAGGCTCTTGGTTATTGATGTTAGGGGTTTTTTTTTTCATTCATGTAACTAGGATTAGGAAGGAATCACAAAAAAAAATTGAATTATAATTTGGAGAAATGGATCGTGAATTTTGGGAAATTGATGAATAAAATCTTCCAATTCTGGTTATTACTGTAATATTCAACCTTAGGGTACTGGTTGGGGCAATCTGTGGAATGTTACAGATAGTAATGGAAGAGTGGTGAAGTTGATATTTCATTCACTCTTGAACTTGATTGGAGGATTACATCAGGGAAGAGATGGAAATTGAAATATAAACAAATGCTGAGAATTATAATTGCTTGAACATTGAACTCTCTCTTTCTCTTTTCATCTACAAGATTTTGCTAAGTGAAAATCCATCAAAAATTGTAGGTTCCTCGCTAGGGTTTATCTTCAATAATGAGAGTGGAGTGAGCAGAAGTAGAAGGGCTGGACTAGTGGTGAAGGCAGCAAAATATTCTCTTTGCCAAACCAAGAGGAATAGATCTAGAAAGTCTTTAGCTCGGACACATGGCTTCCGAAGGCGGATGCGCACTACCAGTGGAAGAGCACTGTTGAAGCGAAGACGGGACAAGGGTCGACAGGTCCTCTGCACAAAATCAAACCCAAGCAGTGGAAAACGGGTTTGATCTGCTATTTGTTTTTGGGCTTGTGTGCTATTTCTTGTAGGTAAATACTCCACACAATCTTTTCTTTCTTGGAACTACTTGCTGTTGCCCATTTCTTTGTCTTGCTGTTCTTGTTCACCAAATGTGCATCTAATTTGCAAGCTCAACCAGCTGTAGGAAAAAAAACAGCACTAAGATGAAGAGTAATGCCTTGTGTGGTTTGTTTTGCTTGAGTACATTAGTTATGAAGTTCCATTTTTTAGAGCTAGCATCTTCACCTTCTTCTATTCATGTTTCTAATATACAAAGAGAACAATCAATTGTGATATGTTGTTCTTTAGTGGCTGTTTAGATTCAATAAGATGGGAATTGTGGAATATATACATTAGTGGATGTAAAGTTTGAGCCCAACTTGAAGATGATTGAAATGGTACCAAAGCTTAGAGAGAGCAACTCATCTTCCTACATTTTTGAGATTGTATAAAAAGCGAAAGAATAGTTATAAAACTTTGCAAGGAGGACTTCGTATTTTCCCATCATCCTACCTGCTTCTTCTTCCTCACCCTCTCTATTTCTCTCCTCCGCCTTCTTCGGTGCTTTGGGAAGAGCCCCAACCCATACCCTTTGGTCTTCTTCCTTTCATGGCCGTGAGGCGGAGCTGAGGTGGTCGTCTGCCTGATGGCACCACACCCAACAGCCTCATCCAAATCTTTTGGACGCGCCAATCATGTGATGCCGTTATGTGCTATTTGGACGGCAAAGAAGTGTCTAAATTATGTTTTTCCCTTTTCAAAAAAAAAAATATTATGAGTGCTTGCACAAGTAAAATGAACAACATTCATATTCTATTTGTCTCATAATTATTTTTCTATATGTGATAGATACAAAATATGATACTCGGTATTGAACAAAATAGAATTTGTGTGATTGTGATATGTGCAAGGAAAAGATAAATACTCCGTAATAAGGATTATACAATCTTTTTTAAAAAAACAAAGTGAACTAGAATATCAGGATAATTTAAATTAAAAGAAAAATATAATTATGGAACGCAAAGAGTACACTTTGGGAAAATTAAAGGAAAAAGACTAAATTATGAGTAAAACATAAAAAATATATCAAAATAAGATTTTCATGTTTTATTTTCAAAATAGGAGTTAAAATGCATTTACATTACCAAACATGATCTGTAGCGCTCTACCGGCTTACTTTAAATCAGCAGTCACTCAACGCCACATCAGTAAGTACTGAGTGCATTCACCATCTCACTCACTCATTTCACACCCTAATACATCGCGTCCATTGTAATGATTACATTTTTATTATTTATTCAATACTTACTTATTTCTACTAAAATTAAATTCAATCCTTTAAAATATAAATAAAAAATATTCTTTTTCCTATTTTATATTTTGCATTTTTTCAGTAATTTATTTTATACTTTATAATTTATGTTTTTTGTGTCATTCTATTTAATGCGGTAAATAAAAAATAAGAAGCAAGCAAATACTCCGTAATAATGAAAAAATACTTAACTATTTTATGTCACTTTTTTTTTTCGTCCAAATATACGTTGGTAGGGAGCCTTATTTTCTTTTACAAGAGAGAATAGTTTAAACGTAAAACTCGTTTTGTTCACAAATAGAAAAATAAATATGATTCTTTCAATTCTGAATTGTTTGGATGAAAAATGTCAGTGAGACATAATATCAAATTTATATATCATATCCAATTTCGTATCGTTGGGTAGATCTTGTGAAATGATTTTCAATGACATTACTTATCAAGCAATAAATTAAATACACAAAAAACATGAATTCAATTTTACAACTTTTATCATGGAGGGGGTAATTATAAAGCATTCAAGATATTTTCTTTATTTTTGTTAATTATCAATTCATACTTAATAACTGTGCAGTCAAATGTTTCTATGGTGCACCTTGGGTGCATACCATTTTTGTGTACATTTTCACATAGATCTTTTTTAGTTAAAATAAATGCTTATTAAGATAGTAAGGTTTTTTTTATTTTCCTTATATGTAGGATCCACTGTGAACTTTAGGTCCGCTTTTAAATTTGCCATAAAAATGAGTAATTTCTAGGAGTAGTGGTGTCAATTATTCATTTTCAAACTACTAACGTAAAATTGCATACTCATGTTCCTAAATGACTTACATACTTTACAATTCAACAATCACGAGAACTTTTAATTTATTTATGTGTTTTCATTGACTATTAGATGATATAAAATTTTATTGTCACCTCTTATTTTGTAAAACTTTTGATATACTTTTTAATTATGTAACTTTTATTTTTTTATATACCAATCTTTAACTAAAATAAATTGAAAAAATGGAAATTTTACTTCATTTTGCGTAAAGAGTAATTATTTAGGGACGAATGTAGTATTTTTTTAGAGTATTTATGTGAATTTTTCCTAAAAAGCAATACTAATGCTAATATTAATACTCCCTCCGTCCCATTTTAAATTGTCTGTTTGCCTTTTTTCTCTGTCCCAAAATAAGTTGCCTGTTAGTTGTTTTCGTAAACTTTTAAAAATAAAATACCTAAACTACTCATAAAATAAGTCACACTTCTTCACCTTATCTTCTCATTCGTCATCACCCCCTCTAAAAAGTAATGACAATTTCGGAAAATCATCTCTATTTTTTATTTTCCTTAAATATGCCCAAAAATCAAAACAGATGATTTAAATTGGGACGGAGGGAGTAATAAAAATAAGGGTCATGCTTGGGGTATACCATTTTAGTATACCTCATTTTTACATAGACAAACAAAGAAATTTAGTGTGTGTGAACATAGACACTTATTCCGTATTTGACTAGTGTACCCTCGCCTTATTCAAAAAATAATGAGTACTCCGTAAAAATTAATTCCCAACTATGGTCTCGTTTTCTTCAGTTTATTTCTACTATTTATTCCTTATTCTTATAAGAATCATATCGGTCCAGATCAGATCAGATTTATTTTGATTAGTTCAGATCATATCAGGTCCATAAAGATCAAATCAGATATATTCGGATCAGATCCATTTAGATCAAAAATTTATTTAAAAAATAAAGAATTAAAAAAATAATAATAAAAATTAAAAAACTAATAATGATTAAAACAGTATTAATCATTACTATTATTAACGAATAATAATAATTTGAATAACAATAATGATTAAAAGAATAATAATAGTGATTAATTATATTAATATTATTACTAATAAATAATAATAATTAATAACAATAATTTGTTATCATCATACTTAATAATAAATGTAATAGTAATCAATAATAAAGATTCAAATAATAATAATCATTATTATTACTACTTAATAATAATAAATAATAATAATTATAATAACAATTAATAATCATATTTACTTGTAAATATAATAATAAAAACAATTATTGTTAATTAATAATGATAATAATCTTCAGATGAGATCATATCATTCAAATCAGATCAAATCACCCTTAAAAAATTCAGATCAAATCAGTCTAAGAGAACGTAGTCTGTATCAAATTTGCAAAATACAAATTGTGGTGGTGGCAATTCCATAGTTAACCAAATAAGAAATGCTAGACACACAAACATAATGGTTACCAAATTTATAAATTTACTATTTATGAACTTGAATAAAAAAAAGTTAAATCATCGAAAGTTATTACTCCCTCCGTCCGGAAATGTTCTTCTCATTTGACTTTTTGCGTTATCCAATATTACATGTTGACCATTAATATCTATATTTATACATAGATATATTTTATAAAAAATTGATACTTCGTATTTGAAAACTACGTTTTGTTATGAATATATTGATATTAAATTTACATATAATACAATGTGTTTTTTCCACAAATCGTAGTCAAAGTTTATAAATTTTGACCAAGAAAAGTCAAATGTGAAAAACATTTTCGGACGAAGAGAGTATAAAATAAAGAGAAATGCTTGGTTCACAAACACAATCATCACAAACTTCACAAACCTACCATTTGTGAATTTCTATAAAAAATACTCCTTCCGTCCCACTCTCTTTGTCCACATACCTTTTGGCACACCATCCAATGCACTTCTTTAATCCATTTTATCTTGTAATTTGTATATATATTAAAAAATTATAAAAATTATATATAAATAATCTATATGTAAAGACAAATCAAACAAGATCACACATGACTATATTTAGGCTTACACATTGAGAGAATTTGATGAGTCAAAGTGCTTAGATAAACAGTTCCAAAAGTCAAAAGTGGACAAAGAGAGTGGGACGGAGGTAGTATTAAATAATCTAAAATAATTTTAAAATGAGATTTTAAACCATAAATAGTAAATTTGTGGAGTTTGTGACCAATCCTGTTTGTGAACGTAGCATTGTCCTAAAATAAACTTTAAATCATAAATGATAAGTTTGTGAAATTTGTTACTCCGTATTATTCTACTCCCTTCGTCCCAAAAAGAATGGGACGGTTTGACTTTTTGGGAAATTAAGGAAGGGATATTTTGGTATTGACTTTCCAAAAATACCCTTGATGTGATGGGTAAAAGTAGGATGTGATGGGTAGATTATTAGAAAAAAGGTATGATGTGATAGGTAGGGTATGAAAAAGTAAGGGGTAAAAGTGGTTTTTTAATAGAAATGTAACGAATTTTACGAGACGCAATTTTTTCTAAACGTAACAAACTTTTTGGGACGGAGGGAGTATATGTGAACCTTGGGAATTGTGGGGTACCCACACCACCTTCCCGCCGCACAAAATTTAATACTCTCTCCCACTCATCGACCGACGTGTCTTCTCTCTCTCTCTCTCTCTCTCCACTATCTACACCCACGTACTGTACATGATGCGTAGTTGTGCACAGAGACGCGACTCTGCGCTTCTTCTCCCTTTTTCTATCTAAAACCTCCCCCACACTTCCTCTCCCTCGAAACCCTAAATTCGCTGCCCATCCTCTCCCCCCACTCCGGTTTCTTACGATGAAGCTTCGCTCTCGGCGTTCTAGGCATTCCATGAATGGTAATCCTCCATTTCCGTTTTTTTTATAATAATTCAATGAGTCGTCATCGGTTTATCCTTGTATGCTATGTGTTTCTTCCGTTCAATTTACCCGGGATGGTAAGAAACCAACAATTTCATTTTTATTAATGACTGTATATTTTTCTCCCTGTTTATGTGTGATTGTGTGTGTTTCCTTCTTGCGCGATGTATAAGCTGGAGAAGGGAGTTCGCATCAAGAAAGGAGCTCTGATGAGGATAGTTTTAGCATTGATTCTTCTGATTCTGAATATCTTGCCAGCGAAGGTATTATTCCCAGGACACCTTCATTAGTTCATGCTCAATTTTATCCTGTTTATTTAGTCGCGTTTTCTGCATTGCCAACTTTGTTAGGCTTTTCATCAATGCTAGAAAATGTGGTTGATGATTTACCTTTAGGGACTAGCTGTGATTAATGATGCCCGTTTGCAGATGAAGTCATTGTCAAGATTCTGGAAGAGAGCTTATTGAAAGGCTTCCATGTAAATGACAGTGATGGTGAGTCAGACTTTGGTGACAATTCGTTCAAGGCTTCAAAGCGGAGGAGGAAGGCCGGGCCTTCAAAAAAGAGGTCAGAAAAGGGCGCGGGCTTTGGGGAAGAAAAAATGCAGAATGAAAAGGCGGCGGGTGATAGGAAGCGTGCCATCAGAGGGCCTCATTCAAATAATCCTGATTTCATTGAATTGCTGGACAGGATAAGTAAAAGGAAGGAGAAAAGTTTAAAGAGGAGAAAGAACAGACCGATACTGATGTGGGAAGTATGGGAAGATGAAAATGATCAGTGGCTTGTGGATAACTTCGCAACTGCTGCTGTGGATAACCAGAATGAGATGGTGTTTGAAGTGGCTGATGCACCTGCGGAATTGACAATGCCACTTTTGAGATACCAAAAGGAGTGGTTGGCATGGGCTTTAAAACAAGAAGAATCTTTTTCTAAAGGGGGTATTCTAGCCGATGAAATGGGGATGGGGAAGACTGTACAAGCAATAGCACTGGTGCTGGCTAAGCGTGAGCTCAAGAGAGCTGTTGGTGAACATAGTTTGCTTTCTTTTCCTCCTACGTCTCATCAAGATTTGCCAGCAATCAAAGGTACTCTTGTGATATGTCCATTGGTTGCTGTGATGCAGTGGGTTAGTGAGATTGATCGTTTCACCAAGAAGGGCAGCTGTAAGGTGCTAGTTTATCATGGATCAAATAGGGCAAAAAACATAGAGAGACTTTCTGAATATGACTTTGTTATTACAACGTACTCCACTGTTGAGGCCGATTATAGGAAAAATATGATGCCTCCAAAACAGGAATGCGAGTGGTGTGGAAAAGCTTACAGTGACCAAAGTATGATTGTTCACCAGAGATATTTCTGTGGGCCAGATGCTGTTAAAACTGCTAAACAGTCAAAGCAACAGAAAAAGAAACACAGTTTTGGGATAAAATTGTCATTGGACATACAAAAATCTGATACAGGCAAGGATGAGCAGAACAATGGCTGTGAGCGCAATGCAAGGAAAAGAGGCCGCAAAAAGGGCATTAAAAGTAAGAACATTGGCAATGAATCCAACAATGACTGTCTTGTGGAGGGCATAGAAGATGAAGATCAAAACATCTCTGGGAAAAAATCAATTTTACATTCTGTTAACTGGGATCGCATAATTTTAGATGAGGTAAGATTTCTCTTGTTTCAATTTCAAATTACATTTTTTATAGTCAATTGGTTCAATGACGTGTATATATTTTGGAACCTGTGCTGCTTACTTTGGCTATTTCCTGTGCATTAGTTCAATGTGCTTTAGTCTCCTATTGATTTTCAGTTAGTGCATACGTAGTATATAAATTCGATTTACTATGTCTTGCATTTTGAGGAGAGCTTACACTTTTCGTGTTACAGTGAATCTAATTGACAATGATATTCTATCTCATAATTTCACCATGACTATATATTCATTTCGTCATTGCTTATAGAATATAGTAGCCCTTTGAATCTATTTGACTGCATCTATGTGCTGCAGGCCCATTATGTAAAAGATAGACGCTCTAACACTACAAGGGCTGTCCTTTCTTTAGTGTCTTCCTACAAGTGGGCCTTGAGTGGCACCCCCCTTCAGAACCGTGTTGGAGAGTTGTACTCACTGGTAAGCCTGTTTTGCAAGTTTGTTTAACTGCAACCGAAGTGTTAGTCTGATCAGGCTGTTTTCCTTTTCACAGGTCCGGTTTCTTCAGATGGTTCCTTATTCTTATTACTTTTGTAAAGATTGTGATTGTAGATCGCTTGATTTTAGGTAAATTTAGGATTATTTTTACTGTTTCTAAGGTTGGATATGCCCTACAGCCATGGCAATATTTAAGCCCTAGACTAAAATGCCACAAACTGAGAAAAGGCACATAAAAAGGAGGCTACTTACTTTTCATTTTGTATTTTTTTGATCTTGCTTAAATTATTTGGAATATTTTTCAGGTTACTTGTAATGAACTAATTTTCTGCAACTTTTAATTCATTACTTTTTTGCATTTTTAATGTGTGAATTGGTTTTTGCTACTAACTTGTTCTAACCGATGGTTGGTTGTAGTTCTTCAACTGATTGCCCACATTGCCCTCATAAATCTGTGCGACACTTTTGTTGGTGGAATAGGGTAAGTCATGGACCCTAATTGGACAGTAAAATGTCATGTATTCCTTCGGTAAGTGGCAAGAACAGATATCTGACACATGCTTTGTTGGTTTTGTTATATTTAAAGAATATTGCCTCACCAATACAAGCTCACGGAAATTCTTTGGATGGCAAAGATGCTATGATATTGTTAAAAAATAAAATTCTCAAAAGCGTTCTACTAAGACGTACCAAAAAAGGCAGGGCTGCTGATCTTGCACTCCCCCCAAGGATTGTGAGTCTAAAGCCATACTAGTGTCATACAGCGAATAAATTTACTATATTTTTGAAATAAAGATACGTATTATTATCTTCCGATTCAGGTGACACTGAGGAGGGATTCTCTAGATGTCAAAGAAGAAGATTACTACACATCTCTATATAATGAGAGTCAAGCTCAATTTAACACGTATGCATTCTAATGCTTGCTTTTATAGTTTATTAGATGTTTTGTTTTAGATTAGACTGATATTCTCAAGCTACCTCATGATCTTGATTTTTTATATTAAGTAACGCTTGCACCTACTGTGGTAATGCATGCAGATATTTTCATTCTTTGTGTCGATCTGCATGCATTCCCACAGGTAGGTGTAAGCGTTACATGATTTGGCATTCCACCCGCTAGCTATGGGCTATAATAATACCTAACATTAATTTAGGAGGCTCAACATTCTTCTCATGTGCACACTGTTTTTATCCTTCCTCTTTCTCTCAATAAGGAGTGAGTATTAGTGGCACTGTTCCAAAAAATGCACTAGGTTGTGCTTAAATGCTAAATTTTAGCCTAGGTGTAAAAATAATCAGCCTGGGTGCTGGGGGCTCCTATTTTTTTTTAAATAGATTTTATCCTAGTTTAAAGTTGTGTAATGATTAAAAATCAATAATAGACATATTACATAAACTGCGATATTTTTAATGTTATTTTTTATATGTGAGCATTAATTCATTAATTTGCAACTCATTTGATTCAGAATAGTATAGCTTATTATTATAAGACACACTATTTGAAATGCACCTGTATAGGCTGTGGTTATCTATTAAAGCTTAACTTTTTGCAAAATCTTCAAGCCCACTTACTACTGAATATTTGAAGATGTTCCTGGCAACCGGGGGTTGCACCTATCGTTTTGTTATGTTAAAAACTTAAAAATAGAAAATGTAGATTTGGCTTATTTTTAGGCGCTGCTTGGGTCTAAATGCTTGGTGCCTCTGCACTCCCTCCCTGATTGGCCCCTAATTGGACAATTCCAGCATTCTGGCAGAGAACAGTGTTCCTCAAATCCACTGCTACTGCAACAATTGAATTAGGAGTTAGGCTGTTCTTATACCATTTTGAATATAATAAACACACACACACACACACACACATATATATATATGAGGATGTTCTTGACAACTGCAGATTGCGCAGATCTTTGTGTTTGTTTTTCGATTGATATGATATGATAGTATTACAGTTATGGTTGTGTCTAAAATATGAAAGAAAGAGAGTAAGGAGATAAGTGATTTGTAACTTAAGGCTGTTTTCTTCTACTCAGATATGTTCAGCAGGGAACTTTGATGAATAACTATGCCCACATTTTTGAACTTCTTACCCGCTTACGGCAGGTTTGTCGATCTTTATAATGTTTGTGTACACATTGTTTTGGGCTCTGGAAATAGTACGTCCTCATTCTGGGCTACTTTTTTATTTATGTCCAGGCAGTTGATCACCCTTACCTTGTTGTATACTCTACCACTGCTATGGAAAGACGTGCAGATGCTCTAGCTGCTGAAAATGCTGAACAAACATGTGGTCTATGTCATGATATAGTAGAAGATCCTGTGGTAAGTTGTGTTTTGGGCTTTTGGCTTCCTTCTCCCTCTCCTCCATCTCCTTGGTAAAAAAATAAATAAGCTAAGATGTAAGACCACTCACGTCAGTGAGTTTCTTTCGCACGCGTAAGAAGTTTTTTTGCTTCCAACAATGAGCTTCTACCTCTTTCTACATAGTTTCTTTTTTAGCACTCATTGTGATGAAAAAAGAGGCTTCCACACACCTTTTCACCCCTATTGTGGAAGAGAGTGGTGAACAAGTGTTTCTCACTGCTGGGAAGTATTGGAAAAAAAAACTTGCACTCAAAATTTATGATGTGGATGAGAAAAGAAGTGTAGAGAGAGTTGTGAGGTTTTTTTAACTCACTGATGTGAGTGCTCTAATGCCTACCTTCAGATGTATGTGAATGCTAATATTTATATTGTGATGTGTAATGATATGATTTAAATTGATGTTAGAATTATTTCAGATTTTAACACGCTTCATGAACTTGTGGCATGTGGTTACAGGTTACATCATGCGCGCATACTTTTTGTAGATCTTGTTTGGTGGAGTTTTCTGCTAGCACTGCACAACATTTATGCCCTTCCTGCTCCAAACCGCTCACAGTGGACCTGTCTTCTACTAGTAGTAAAGGAGATACAAATACCAAAACAACAATCAAAGGATTTAGGGCCTCCAGTATACTGAATAGAGTTTGTTTGGATGAATTCCAGACCAGTACAAAAATAGATGCCTTGGTATTTTACAAATCCCACCTCTCAATTTTTTCCATTGTGCTCTTTCATTTTCAAACTTATCTTTTTTCAAAATGTGATTTTCTTATGGGATGACTTACTTTTCATTCATTCTGATGTGATGTAGAGGGAAGAAATAAGATGTATGGTGGAAAGAGATGGTTCTGCAAAAGGAATAGTTTTCAGCCAATTCACTTCATTTTTGGATTTGATAAACTATTCTCTGAACAAAGTATGCCCCTTTTTTAATGATCTTTATGTGTTAATTAATTAAAAAAATGGTGAACGGCAAGTAATTTGTTGTGTCACTCCTTGGCAGTCGGGGGTGAACTGTGTCCAGCTGGTGGGGTCAATGTCTATGGCTACCAGAGAAGCTGCTATAAGTAAATTCACAAATGACCCGGAGTGCAGAATATTCCTCATGAGTTTGAAAGCCGGAGGAGTTGCTTTAAACCTGACCGTTGCATCACATGTGAGTGTGTCTGATTTTATCATCATCATCATCATGATCCTTTATGAATGCAATCCGGCCGGGTTCTCACGTTTTGGGTTGGTGGGGACAGGTTTTCTTGATGGACCCATGGTGGAATCCAGCGGTGGAAAGGCAAGCTCAAGATAGAATCCATCGGATAGGACAATATAAACCTATAAGGTATGTGTGTTCTTCAACTTGTCATCCCCTGGAGTATGTGTGTTCTTCAACTTGTCTTCCCCTGGAGTATGTGTGTGATTATCTAAATCTCTCTCACTCTATCTCCCTGTGGATTATAGAATAGTAAGATTTGTGATTGGGAACACCGTTGAGGAAAGGATCTTGAAGTTGCAAGAGAAGAAGGAACTCGTTTTCGAAGGGTACTAAATGCATAGAATTAATTATAATAGTAGTAACACTCTGAAATGCTACTTATAATTATGAGTGTAATAATAATTAGAAGGCTATAATATTACAACTCAAATTGGTTTTACAGGACGGTTGGTGGGTCAGCAGATGCACTTGGAAAGCTATCAGAGGCGGACTTGAAATTCCTGTTTGTAACTTGATGCAGCAAATCCGATGATTAACCAAGAATTAGCTTATTATATAGTAGTAGTAATGACATAACTGCATAGTGTTAGTAGATGGGGCAATAAGAACAATCAACTGTAATGGGTTTCGTTTTTGTCAGCAGTAGTTTTTGTACTTGAAATGTAATCCAAACAAAGGAATTTGAAATGTAATCCAAACAAAGGAATGTAGTCTATGGATGGATTGTAAGGAGCTGATTAGTAGTAAAGCTTATCTCAATTGAACTGAATTTAGTGGGTACATAATTGAAATTCAGTGAAGTGTATTTTGATCCTGAACTTAATTAAGCATTTAGTCGGTAGCTGTTGAACAAATTGAATTTATTATAGATACTCGACTAAATAAAACTTACTCCTTTTGTCTCGAAATTGGTTACCAGAATTTCACTTTTTTACCAAAATTGAGGTTGATATTGGTGTGTTTGACTTGCATAGCTCCGGCCTCCGGATTTCAGAGCTCTACCCTTTCGTTTACTTCACCAAGCCCTAATTTTGTCCATCATTCTCATTTGCCAGATTTAACGCATGCCACACCCAGAGTTGTAAACGAATCGAATTGAATCAAATATTGATAAACATTATTTGTATTCGTTAGTTTATGGACGGTATTCATATTTGTATTCGATTCGAATATTTTTAGAGATTAGTATTCGATTCTTTTATTTTGCATACGATATTTGATTCATTTAAAAATATTTAATTCGTTAACTTTTAAAATATACTCCCTATTATACAACTCCGTCCTAAAAATCTTCTCAATATGTTTGAAAATATTTTTAATTTAATTTATTTGATTGTGTAAAATTAAAAAATACTCCGTAAAAATTACTGGGTATTTATTTTAAAACTACATCAAAAAGTCTACAACACAAGGGGTGCAATGATTATATTATTTTATCAAATAACTAAGGACAATAGATAAATCAAATGATTATAGTTTGATCAAGTGAATAATGTCTGGGAAGATCATTTTAGAACAGAGGGACTATAGTTTATTTCTTAAAATCATGTGAATTATATTAAACTATTTTTTTCCAAAACTTTTATCATGTGATTTATATAAACTCAATCTCCATTATTACGATACACTTTGCCAAAGCACTCCTTAACCAACACTTCTAACTTTTGCTAGTATAAAATGCATGAAAACCATGAACCTCATTCTATGATCCTCCAAGATCAACCCAAAGAGTAGACTGGAAGAAAATAAATTAAACTTTAGTCTTAGACTGATCAATAAAGAGTGAGATCTGTCTCTAGTACGTCAAGGACTTCATGCTACAAATTTTCGTCCGAGTATTACCCCTTTTGCCCATTAAACCACGCCCCATGCATAAAGTTTAATAAAACGCATAGTCAATTTCAAAAGGCGAAGCAAAACTGTCATGGCCACTTTTACTAAGGACTAATAAGCTACTCCGTATTATATACTCCGCAATCCGTGTGACCGTATTACGGAGTATATTTCCAATTGCCTAATCAGAGAGTAATGAAAGCATAGAAAGGAAAAACCACACAATACTGCACACCATAAACAAGCATCATATGGTACCACTTTATTATCACCCACAACCTCAAGAGAACTAGTTCTTACATGGCAAGAGACAGCTCCAAACAAAAAGCGCGCATAATGCTTATTCTTTGTTCAAGCCGTGGTGGACAAGAAGCGGTTCATCCATGAGCGAAAGCGAGACCAAGCCAGCTCCACAGTGGCATTCTCAACATCAGACTCTCCCATGGTTCTCCTCCGCTGTATCCCATCGGCGGAGCTGTTCATGAATGCATGCCCAGCCTTGGGATACAAGTGCACCTCATGTTCAACTCCAGATTCTTTCAGCTTCTCTTCCAACTCTTTCCCAGCCTGAGAAAAAAAACCCATACTGTATTTCATACTCCAATATATTCAGTAGTTCGTTAAGCATTTCATGCAGAGTTTGGTTCGTGTGTAAGTTTTCACCAGTCAACAGAAATGCTCAATCCATTTCATAAGAAAGTGAGAACTTTTTTGAAGTTCTCACATCTATGGAGTTCTGGAAATGATACGCAATGGCTTTTTATGTTCAGGTTTACCTTGGATAATGCCACGGAAAAAATCAATTTTTGTTGGAACTTTTTTGAAGTTTTGTATAGATGTGTTAAAATGAGAAAAAATGTTCAAATGACATGAGTTTGAACAAATAGCTAAAGTTGATTTCATTGGGTTCAAACTTCAAAGCAATCTTTAATTTTTCCAACATTTTCTTTCCTTCTAAGTTTCTCCAACTTTCCTCCTTATTTCCTTCCCTAGCATGTTTTCAGGATTATTGGGAGGACAAAACAAGTGGGGAAATATAAACGGAGTATATAATACAAAAAATGACAAAGGAAAAGAAACATGGTAGCATACCTTGATATCTGAAAATCCAACAAATCCATCATCCTCCCCAAAATGAGCCTGTACAGGTGCCTTGGCCTTGGCAGGGTCTGCCAGCTCAGCAGAAGGTACTCCATAGAATGCTACAACAGCATCAACACCTGAGACTAGAACAGAACTTGCAATGGCAAGGGCACCACCCATGCAGTACCCAGTCACTCCAACCTATAACATAGTTTCAAAAATTGAAAATTCATAGATGAGAAGAACCCAAAAAAAATGTTGGGACTTGGGAGTAATAAGACATGTATGGGAATTCTATCAAACATTTCAAGAGGTGAACAAAATAACATTTGTCCACTTCTTAAAACATCAAAATCATGTCAAATAAGAGTTTTTGGTTGGAACTTGGCAGGAACTCTCTTTATTTTCCTAAATAATTATGTGTATCATTTGATCCCATTGTTTGGTGCATGGAAAAACATCGTCCACTTTCCAGGGAATTCTATTTCCACAAAATAGGGAAAAAGTTCCTAGCCAAACAAGAACAAAATTTAGGAACAACTCAAAAAGGAAAGAAGGAACACAATTATGGAATAGGGTGAGCATAAGACAGTACCAAAGACACCCAACCTATCCCACACAAAAGTAGGATTGTGGTAAGTTGTACACCTTATCTCTACCCCTAAGAGTAGAGAGACTGTTCTCCAACAATCATCGCATAATTAAAAAAGAGACCTAATAACAGCTCGTCTGAATGTGTGATGCATGTATTTTCTTTCGCCTTTGGGAAAGAAAAGCTACTTTTTTGGCTAACTATGTATTGAGTACTTAGTTAAATTGGTCAGTTATAGGAAAAATAGTGCATAAATTGCTCTATAGCTTAAATAGTTGAAATCAAGAAATGATACTTTTTTGTTTTTTAGATGTGTTGATTACGTAGTAAAAAATTGTACGGAGTATATTGTAAACATATTTTTAGATAATTAAGTCATCTCAAGTCTCAACCATACTTTTTAAGCATGAGAGCATTTCATCCAAATTTCACTCTGAACCCATCCGAAATTTAAAATCCTAAAATTTCGTTACTAATTTTTTATTTAATGATGCAAGAGCTCCCATGGTGTAAAGATGGCTTGAAATTATGTAAATGGTCTATCATTGATCATTCCTATCTACCAACTACAAATTTGAAACTTTTCTTTATTCCCCACATATTGTTCTCTGACTTCTCTCACTATATTTATCCTTAATTCCTATCAGCAATCCACATACCTCATATTTATTGTATATGTAAATTGGAAAACTGAACCCATCTAACTAGTATACGTAAGGCAGCACTAGAGATAGTAGAAAATCAAAATAGTGAAAAATTGGAAGCCCAAAAAAGTATAGTAACATATCAACGCATGAACAGGTTTCAAAAACGAAACACCTCCCAGAAGTAGATGAAACACAATATACAACATAGAAAAAGCTCAAGTAACAAATGACCAACAGGTATACCTAAATGATCATAAAAGAGTGGACAGCCAGTTATTCATCCAATATGTAAAAAAATGTGAATTTTGCAGAAATCACAATTCTCGTAATTTTAAATCCCGACCATTAACTTTTCTCCTCAAGTACCCATTTGAGAGTCCAGATGAACATATACGTAGTATGATATATGCATTGGGAGGCAAAAAGAACAAACCTTCTTTGAACCATTTTCCTTGAGCCAATTAACAGAAGCATGAATGTCTTTCACAGCTCCTTGCCAGTCAAGGCCATCCATCAAGTGCTGTGCTTCTGCAACATCTAATCCAACTTTTCCACGGTAGAGACTAATTTTAAAAGAAAATATCAATTTACACTCTTTACACTCTCAGAAAATGGATAAACTGAACCAAGCTTATACACTAGGTCTTACTCAGGTATGAGTGCCTTGTAGCCAGAGTCAAATTCAGAGATTTTCTTGGCATGGTTTTTTATCTCAAAGTCGACACCCCACCATTCTTGGAGCACAACAATTCCAGGAGCATCTTCTTTTCCAATTACATATGCGTCGAATGTCTGGTTGATATTTAGTGATTCAAAATAACAAGAGAAAAGATATTAGTTGTCATAAGCACGGAAAAATGAAACACAAAACCAGATGCCACAATAATTACACGAAATAATTTCTCTCAGCATAAAGTATATAGAGTGGAGAAGAAAACATTTGCTCTACCGAATCCCGTTGAAAGAGTTAAAAACTTAAAATGGAAAGCATCTCTAGAAGTGGTTTTTTGTATTATAACTCGGTCAAGAGTGTCAGGCAATCAATATATTTTCGCAATTCTCCATTTTCAGCAATTGAGAAGCTTTTGGGGGTTATTCTCACCTCATTTTGCACAAAACGCTTCTAAGCTGAATAGATTATGCAACATAAAATCAGACAATCGGACATGTTTATTGGAGTTCTTCGTCTACTTCATGAGGTTCCTTACTATTACCGATTTAACATCGGACCAGTTTCCTAGTATTCAAAAGCATTTCTCCCTATGTGCATAAAATGGAGTAGCGGATACATACGGTGTCGTCTCTCTGAATCTGAACTTTCTTGAATGGGGAAGTTGAGTCGGCCATGGAGCGAACCTGAAGACGAGAAGCAGAGACGGAGAGAGGATGAAGTTTCCGTGCAAGGGCGACGATAGGTGGTATTCTGGTGCCTGCGAAGATTCTAGAACAAGCCATGCTTGCCACTGCCTAGTTTTGTTTTGGGCCCGTTCTACACCGCATACGTCCATCCACGGTGACCCGCTTAAAATTTTTTGACCCGTTACTTAGTGGCCAACCGGCCCGTTCTACACGGCAGAGTTGGAAGAGTGCACCATTTTCTTTCGAACTCTATATATAGTCTCATTATTCAATAAGATTCATTCCTTTCAAACCGTATAATGGTATCAGAACTAAAGTCTCTCTTCTCAAAAGTCCCATCCAGTCATCTCCCTTCTTTTACGATCGTGCGCCGCCGCCAGTCTTCATCATTCACGGTCAATAGTCACACATCATGGTCTCGCATGCCTAACAACCTTTGCTCCTTATCTCACTCTTCCTCTTCAAGGTCCGCATCGAACCATAATGAAAAAGAAGAGTCTAGTTCAACCTCCAGTTTTCAAACTAAGATATGGTTTCTCCAACTTTGCCTCACCATTAAAACCTACAACACTATCGGATGGAAAGCCAAGAAGGCATGGGAATAGATTGATTTATAGTCTCTCTCCACAATGAGATTCAATCAAAAGCTAGTATTCGTATAACAAACGACCTCTGCTATTATTAGAAGAATATGTCAAAAGTGAGAGCGGCGTTGAGGAGATACTACTGCCAACCAGTATAATATCTCATATGGCTATGCCCTTGACCGATTGGTGATATAACTAAACTTCAATGGGTTAGTCTAGTGTGGAACAACTGGTCAAATCATAAATACCAATTCATCAATTAGTTAATCTGGAGGAGAAGATTGCTAACCAAGTGCAGGTTGAGTATGTTTGTTCACATTGATACCAGTTGCACCTTATGCGAAGGATTAGAGCAAGACCTTGACCATCCTTTTGTACTTGTTCTTATACATCCATGATTATGAGCAAGGTGTCTAATTGGTGGATATGATATCAAACTTAATCATTAAGGAGATTATTGGATATAATGATGAAGAGCGCTAGTAAGACCGAAAAGAAAGTTAAATCTATTTTATTTGCTCCCTCTTGCTATGCTATATGGAAGGCAAGAAATAGTAAGATCCATGGGAATAGATTGATCCTAGTTGATGAAAGTATTGGCTATATCAAATATCATCTTGGCATTTGTGTTAGTCTTAAAATGAAGAAGAAGTAGTCACTGTTTTTCCTTGTATGTAGTTTGTAGTAGTGAGTTGCTCTTATGGGGTGGTTTGTGTACATCTCTAAGTTTCCTAATGAAGATTGCACTTGGTTCAAAAAAATATAGAGCAGAAAGAGTTGAACGTAATTGGACGAATTGTTTAACTCGTTTGATTGTTTCGATAGGTACAAAAATTTGTTTCACTATGTGTTATATGAAGTGAATAGTTACAATCATTCGACCTACAAGAAAGGTACAAAGTTCGTTGAACATACCTTTCTCTCTTCAAAAAAAAAGTTCGTCAACGTGATTGAATAACTGGAAAGTTGTATTTGTCTATGTTTCTTCTAAATTTCGAGAACAGGAAAAGCGATAGAGAAGCAGAAAAATGGTCCTGAAAAAACAAAAAAAAAGAAACTCTCCACCCTATCTTCAATCGTCAAAACAAATATTCTTTCAAACTCGTTCGACATGAAACGAAGATATGCCTCTCTGTTTCTAGCTACTATCCTCACAAAACCACTTTCCTGACTCCATTATGCTAATACTTGTTCTACAAAGAGCTCCGCATTACGAATGAGTTTGAAAGTAAGACACAAAATATTTTTGTGCTCACCTCTACAAGCCAAAAACTTCATCCTCCCCCTCACATTAAATTCTTTAGACATTGATGAATTTCAAATACTATCTCAATTTCTTGAGTATTTATCCAGTCTTGACTTTTTGTAGTCAACTCCTGTCATCTTAATTATATAAAATAATATTTTTAAAATATTACATAAAACAAATTTATTAAAAATAATTTTATATCATTATTTAATATCAATTTTATTTAGTTAACGGTCAATGTTTGTCAATTTTAATTACAAAAAAGTAAAACTGGACAAATACGAAGATCGTATGAAATATAGGAAAGGCTTCAAATTAAATAAAACTAATGTTATAAAAATTCATAAAAAACAATCCTAATTTTTATTTTATTGTGTAAAATATGCCGTTTCCGTTAAACCACCGTTAGCAACTTAACGGCGACTCAAAACTCACAAATTTCAGTAAAATTATGATTATTATGCATCGTAGTGAAATGTGAGATTATTTTTTTGAGGAATTTATTTAAATAGCACTAAAACATAATTACTTTCCCTAAATAGCACTACATGTGTTTTTCTTTCTAATGTACGGAGTAACACTTTTAGAACAAGGACAAAAAAGTAACTTTATGTGTTTTCTCCTAAATCTCACCGTTTTCTTCTCCATTTGAGAGAAAACTTTGCCTAGATTTTTCATACTCTTTTTCTCCTTTCTTCTTATTTTTTTTCTTAATCAAACATAAGAAAATTAAAATTCTTTAAAATAGTGTTTTCCTCCCCTCTTTTCATTTTTTCCCAACCAAGCAAGGTGTAAGCGTGGGGGATTATTTGTATTGAATTTTTTTCAAATAAAAATAAAAAAGAGGAGAGAAAAATAAGTTGAGGTAATTAACAACAATTAATAAATAAGACACGTGATCAAGGAATACTATTGACTTGTTTCGGAAAAATTTGTTTGTATACAATTAATGTTGACATTAGGCATGAATTACATTTGGCAATCAACGGTAAACCACGCAATTACCCCCTGTTTTTTAATCTGCTTTTTTCTAATTGTTCTCTACTTTAACAGAATAAAATTATTATAAAAATAAATATTTGATTATAATTTATTCTAAATTATTCAAATTTGAAGCAATTACTTTTTTTGTTAAAAAATAACATCGCTCAAATTAAGAGCAAAACATAGACATCTCCAAAATAAAAATGTTATACTTTTATCTCAAAAACAAGACTATTCTACAATTACAATTTGATACTTACATTGGCATTCTATATTTTTTGGTATTATATATTTGCACTATTAGTATTATAAATCTTATTTTGAGGATATAAACATAAATACTAATTTTGATTTTTTCCTTAATTATCTTTTACCCTTAATTTAGTCTTTCTTCATGGCCGGGAAAGTGTGATAATTAATGTTTTTATAACAAATGAATAAAAAGCAAAGTAAATAAGTTATATACAGAGTATTCTTTATATTCATAACGCAAATTCTTTCGTGGACCTAAGGTCCATGTTCATTTTATGAACCTTAGTGTATTTATAACATAAGAGAATTGAAGTGAGTCTTTGCAAAAAAGAAAATATCTACATGATATGCAAGACCATGAAAAATGTGAAAAAGTCTACAATTTAAATGTAACTTTTAGGACCATATAAGTATCACTCATATCATTAAATTAAGTTTTAATCACAAAATTTAAGCATATACTCCGTATGATATAATTTACTCCGTATTATATTGACCAACATCAAGTTATAATAATACAACATTAATATCATTCGATTTTTTCTAAATTGAGAAGATGTAGTTTTAGAATATTGTACTGATATACTCCGTATCTTATATAATCACATGTATAGAGAATAATATATTACCTTTGCCTTAAGAACAAGATTGTCACTTTTCTTTTTTGATTGAATCAAAACAAGTACGTTTCTCATTCTAATTTTATTTTTGAAAGAAGATTCGTCATTGATTCCAAAGTGTCAAACTCTAAACAAGTTTCTCATTCTTTTAAACAATAAGTTGTGTGATTTAATTTTTTTTGCTTCTTTCATTCAAAATGTGTGAAGTATACATTATATTGTTCCACATTAAAGTAAATGAAATTCAAAGTAAAATCATAATTTATTGGAGACGAAACTAGCAACATTTGCACGATAAATAAAGAGTAAATTCCATAATTGGTCCTTTATAACAGGGGGGTTTCCATATTTAGTCCTTTATTATCAAATATTACCCTCGTAGTCCTTTTTTTAAGGGTACCTTTCCACAAATAGTCCTTTTTTTGATCTTCTGCCGTGTTGGTGTTAATTTAAAGGCTAAAAGTATAATTTGACATCAACATTATGTTTAGTGACGTGTTCTGATATTGGTTAAGCGGATAACACAAAAATAATGATTATGATTGTGGGCTAGGATTCTAACGAAAGATCACATTTGTAGATTATAGTTGTCGTAAAAAGCGACTGTAATTCACAAACGACGCAAACGGAACAGCCTTTGGAATTGTGTATGACAAAAAAGATATATTATCATTGTAAAATTACACTTTTAGTCCTCAAATTAACACCAACATGATAGAAGATCAAAAAAAAGACTATTTCTGGAAAGGTACCCATAAAAGAAGGATCACTTGGGTAATATTTGATAATAGAGGACTAAATAGGGAAACCCCCATGTTATAAAGGACCAATTATAGAATTTACTTATAAATAAAATCCCATATTTACAAACCTAGCTCACTCATCAATTCATCATCACCCTCCTCAATTCATTATAGTGTTTCTATTGTGGAGTTAAACTAATTATTTATGTGACCCTTCTCACATGGGTTTATAAGAGTTCCCAAAAGTATTTTATTTACAATAACAAATCTAGTAGAATAAAATCTCATAAAATTAAGGTCTCGTGTAATTGTGTGCATAGATACTCCCCCACTAAAAAATAGTTAGAGAAGTTGTTTCCAAGATATCTTCAATAAAAAATAAAAGCACAAACAAAGAAATTCAAACAACACAAATAAAATATGAACATAGACAAAAAAATTAAAATACATAAATCAATATGTCTATTCAATTATTATAATCCTAGATTGGGAGAGGTTCCTATAAATCTATGACCATATTACTTTGTTTATGTGTATCTTGTAGGAAATTGGGAGGCCATGAAAGACAATGCGGCAAAGCAGCATTAGAAGCACGACAAATTCTTTTGTGGTCTTTAAGTTCATACTCATTTTATGGACTTTGATACATGAAATGATTAAATTTATTGGACTTTCTAAAATGAAAGAGATCCAAGTATGAGTCCATAAAAAATATGTGAAATTTCACATGTGGATCTTATGACAACAATAGCAAAACTCTAGAAAGAATTAGTATAAAATAAACGTGAAGAAAACTTGATAAACTTTTACGAATCACATAATAATTTTCAAATTAAATTAAAGTTATTTTGGAGTATACTAAAATACTTAAATCGTGTAAGAATTAACATAAACTTGCAAGAACGTGTATCTTTGATTCTACATTTGAATACGATATATCGTACGACTTCATATATATAGAGCCAAATCCGAGCTGGCTGGTTTGTTGCGCGAAACGTAACATGTCTTATTGTGTAACATTCGAATGGTTGACTTAAACATTTGATTGATTGCATCGGTTATATACAAATATAGAATTTTATACATAAATTGTCGCATCTGATCACAAAACAGTCAAATGTTTAATTAGGTAAAAACATGTGAATGTATGCATCTTTTTGCAAAGGGCGCTGATGGTTATCATTAAAATTTGATTGTACGCATAATTTTGTATGTTTAATGTTTCTTATTTTTTTAATTTGTCTACAAAAATCCAAATAATTTGCATAAAGCTATTCAACAATATCCATATTAAAATAAAATTTCTCTTAGGGGCTTTGTCCCTTGGACTCTGCCATTGGGGGTTGTCGCCCTCGAACCCTTGGTAAAGAATTTGTAATTTCATCGAACAAATGTGCATTTTTCCTTTTTACACCTACTAATTAATGACTTGTTTGGGAATAACTTTAGTGATTTAGCGTTAACATTTTGAAAAGATAATCTGTGGACAACTTTTAGCGTTAGTGTTTTCAAAGTTAATCTGCGTCGTTAAAATTTTATCCAAAACACTAACGTTAATCGAAAACAATATTCCCAAACTGACCCTAAGTCGTTACAATTTCTAAAATTTTCATTACAATCCAATTACATTAAGTAATCGATCGAAAACACTAAAATCACCTAACATTTCTTAATTGTGAAGAATTTGTAATGGCCGATTATAAATATCACAGGCCAGATTCATTAATTGTTGTTTTAATTAAATTTCAATTCATAAAACTCTAATTAAATTAAATTAAATAGGCTTAGTGCTCTCATCATCGTTTTTGCCTTATTAGCTCTGCGCGCTATCATATCATATATATAGACAAAAAGAGCTGACTGAGCTGCGCTAGCAGGCCACCACAAAGGCATTGCCGATGGAGAACCTGCCGGAAACATTTTACGTGGACCCCACATGGGGAACGCCGCCGATAACCACCGCATTCGCCGCCGCACGCCTGTCGGAGCCCTCGCCGGAGGAACTGTTGCTCCTGCTTCACCGCCCTTCTCGCCGTGAGGATGCCTTGTCGGTTCTCGTTACGGTACCGTATTAATTTAATTCATCACTCCCGCTCTACTACTAGGGAGTATACGGATCGGAGTAATTAATTTTATAAACTCACGGCCTTTTTATATGCTCTAATCTCTACTTAACTCATAGAAATTAAATAATAGCCGGAAAATACATTTTCAATTAACGAAATTTTAGATAATTTTTTGGAAAAACTTCACACCTATATTCCCAGAATTGCATGAGTTTATATAAATATTTCGAGATTAAATAAATGACATTAATGCTCTCAAAATTTCTCTATATTTCTCTGAGAAATGATATCTGTTTACATTAGAGCCCCAACATTTAGAGCATAAAATTAAACAAAAATCAATTTTTAGAGCAAAAATGTGAATATAGAAAAATTTTTGGGAGCATTTGTGTCATTTCATGAATCTCGGAATATTTATGTAAATTCGTGCAATTCTATGAGTATTGATGTGAACTTTTCCTTTTTTTGATGTTATATACTCCGTACGAAATACTCCGGATGAAGTTTGAAAATCACTAGAATATACGGAGTGTATAGTCATTAAATAGTATTTTCAAAAAAATAAAACTTTTTCCAAAATAAAAGAAAAGCAAAACTTAAATGCTCAACTTATTGCAAAACAAGTACTAATAATCGTTTCATCATACATACTTTTGTACCACGCGAATTATTTATCCAATTTAACTTTTTTATGTTGAATTAAAGAAATGTTGATTATCAATTAAACAGACAGCATACAGAGTAATTTATTTTATATTCATATGATTTTTTAGATTAAATATATTCTATATTATCTTCCAAGAAACTATGATAAAAAAAGTTCATTGTACTAGTATTATGCGAGCCGTTTTTCATTTAATTGACGAAAAACTTTTTCCTCAAAGAGAAAAAAATGACAAAAAAGTTTATCTAGATTAATTTTTAAAAAGTTAAAACTGTACCCATACTATGAAACAAAAGAATGAAGTACTATATACTACACTTCTACTATTTGAAATCATAAAAAAAGCATTAACATTAACATTATTTTTAGCTCCTTTAAGATTATATATGTTTGGTTTAAAGAATTTGAAAAAAAAAAGAAAAGAAAATGAGAAGGAAAACGATTATTCTTGATTGTTTAATTGGTTAGTGAGGAAAAGAAAATGAGAAATAAAAAATATTAAGAAGAGGAGAAACCAAATTCCTCTTATCTTGATGAGAAAAATGAGAGAAAACTATTTTCTTTTCTTTTTCTTTCAAATTCCTCAAACCAAACATAATCTATTCACATGCAATGTGTAAGGGTGCGAATAAGTGTTCATTCTGAAACCACATAAAAATTTGTCTTTACTAAGTGATCTACTTGCCGGATTAAAACTATAATTTTGAGGTATTTAAATACGCAAATAATTTAATTAATTACTACTTGTATGTAGCAATAATTAATGTTTTGTTGGATCTAATTAAGGGAAAACACAAATGCCTACTTAAAACTTATTTTTATTTTTGAGAATTGATATTAGCATTGCCATGTTGATAATGACACTCCAAATTTGTAAGTGAAAGGCAAAAAAAATCTCATTATTTTTGCCAACTCAGTCTTTTATGTAAAATATTCTTCTTTCACAAATTTGAAATGTCAGTCTCAAATATTGAAATATCAATTTAAATTTTCTTTTTTTTCCGGCTTTGACTAATTTATTTGTTGGTTTGTAAGGAAATTCAAAATCAAAATACTCCATTTCCAAGGAATTAATGCTTTGTAACTGTTAGGACTATTTTATCCGTATTCATTCATTCATAAAACAACAAAATGATGAAATATAATTTCCTTAAATAATTTTCTGGGTTTTTTATATAAATATTAGAAGCGAGAAACATGGGAGGATCTACCTTTGTTGCTGTGGAATTCATTCAACACGGTATTTATACTACTACAGGTACTTCATCTATCTGTTATGAGTTGTTAATTAAATGCTATTTAATTAATTATGGAGTATATGAATTCATTTTACTATTTCCATTATATCAATGAATCCAAAAATTCACCTTTTTTTAAAAAAAAAATTTGGAGTGTGAACGATGAAATAAAGTAAATTAGCTTTTTAAATTTTCACTCTTCTTTCAATAGTGAAGTAGAAGTTAGTCAATGCAACTTTCGTCAGTGTGGATCCTTCCATCCACCTAGACGAAATAATGGGCTGAGCACTTGACACGGCCGGGGAACTTGGAATCGGATTTTTGGTCTACAGGTCAGTCCGGCCCGTAAAAAATGCGGCCCGCAAACTTGAAGGTTGGGCTCAAGTGTTATGTTTGGGCCCGCATGTCGCATGGTCCGTTAATAATAATAATAGTAGTAGTAGTAGTAATAACAACAACAAAACAACAACAACAACAACAACAATAACAGTAGTAATAATGATAATAATAATCGGTATTATTATACAAACATGCCTGCATACCTCTAATGAGGAAAAAAGACAACTAGTAATTTCAATCAAACGAACATGAACTTAGTATTGTTAATCGCATTAGTAATTATCTTTAAATAACAATAACATATACGGAGTACAAAATAACATTGCATATGTTGGTTATTATTGCGATAGTGTATTCATTATAATTACTATTATATACGCAGTAGAACATTTTATAAGTATGTACTCTTAATTTCGTAATAATATTCCGCATTAAAAAGATTTCACTTTTTATATTAGGCAAACTTTTTATGGGTTACAACATTTCTATATATCCTTTCTAATAGTCTAAAATATACAATTCCATTTTTCTTAATCTCCGTGCGTAGTCAATTGTGAAACGGTATTGTGAGACGCAAGAAGTATACATTAAGATAATTTTTATTTAAATTCTATTTATTGGTATGTTTTAAAAAATATTTTTAATGGTTGCGGGCCAAGCGGGCCTAGAGCTTGTTGCTAGACCGGCTGTACGGGCCAGAGCCCAACCTAGAATTTAAAAAAATCTCATAATATGGATGATACCATTTGATTTGGGTAGGAAGTGATGTCAGCATACAAGAAGTTAGCTCCCTCAAAGATGACCGCCAGAGAGTCTACCCGTGTTTGCAATGCCATTGCACTATTTCAGGTTCTTAATTTGTCTTTTCCCTGCATGACTTTTCGCGATATAATTTCACTTTTCTTAATTTGTGCGTCAAGTCAATGTTGAAACTTTTTCACGGGGACAAAGGGAGTACAATAAATCAATTTCATCCACCGGCACAACTCATGTGGTCGAGAAGGTTGCGCCACAAGGGTAAATTTGGGATTGACTCCCAATGACGGTGATAGATTAAAGAATGATCAGGTCCTGCATGAGATTCTTGCACGTAAAAGAAACAGACCCTATTTTCTCTCAATCTAGTTTAGTTTACTTCCTCCGACTGAGAACTCGAGGACGGGAATTCAACCTTTTATTTTATATAAATCAATTTCACATATGATATTCACGAATGTACTCTCTGATTATACAATATTATGACGTACCCCTCACCGGCGGCATGCAGTGCATAGCTAGTCACCCGCAGACAAGGATGGAATTTGTCAAAGGTCAATCTCTTTTTTTCTTTTTCTCTTTTTTTTTTTTTAGCTCCCCCGACCAAATGAATTACTACTAATAATTTTATTTGCTATCCATTTTTGCAGCTAAGATAACATTTTATCTTCACCCATTTCTTGCAATAACTGCCAATGGCGATAAGCCTCTAGAGTTGTTGAGGCTTACTAGTTTAGGTGTATTTGGCGCCCTAGTGAAGGTCATTTACTAATTATTATTAATATTCTCATCATAATTAATTATTATTATTATTATTATTATTATTATTTGTAGTAGTATATGAAATGCTAACATGGGTTAATTTTAAATTATTAAAATAATATAATTTCATATGCCGGGACGTCTTTAATTAATTTTTTTCTGTGCAGTCTGAGGATGGAGATGGGAAACAAATTGTCCATTTTCTTCTAAAATCTGAGGTCTTCCCCATGTGCCTACGTTGCATGGATCTTGGTGATGAACTTACTCAAACTGTGAGTTGATTAAATTAATGAATTTTTTAAAAACAATCTTACAACGCTTAGATAAAAAAAACACAAAAAATCAAAATATAAAATCGTGCACTACTAGCTCCTATATACAGAGAGACAGAGTAGAGTTTCTAAATCAAAGATGAGAATGGGATGAGAAGAAAAAAAAGACTAAGAAGAGATGAGAATGTTGTTGCCTACCTGCATGCAGGTTTCAGCACTGGTGATTGTGAAGATAGTGATGGAAGAGGAGGGGCTGAGGTACTGCAGCGGGTACGGGGACCGGTTCTTCTCATTGGTGCAAGTATTGGGACGAGTTGTGGAAAAACTCCCTGAGAGGCGTCCCAGTTTGTGCTTATTGAGACTCCTCATTCGCTGTTACCTGAGGCTCTCCCAGGCTCCAAGGGCAACGGATGCCTTCAAGAACTGTATCCCTGCAAGAATGACCCAGGAGAAATTCATCAACTTTCTTCGTGTGAGACACAAGTGAATCTGTTCTTTACAAAAACTTCTGAAACATGCACCTTTTGAAATGCAAATTTATATGTACGTATGTATGAGAGTGTGTGCAACTAAATGAAGAACATTTTGCATGCAGGAAGATCCACAGAGTGCAAGGATGCTGCAACAGCTATTCCTCAATGTCACAACCCGCCAGATCGAATAGACAAAAAAGAAAGGCCGCTTGCATTGAACTATATATAATATCTAAGGCTTGCTTTATTCTATGTTGTGGGTGGTGTTTTACCATGATGGAATGCCATGCAGACTGTTTTCAGTTAAGGGATTTATGGTGTATTGTAACATTAAACATTGTATTATCCTATGTAATGAAATCATAAGGTTGAGTTCTTGACTTTCTTGGCTGAAATCAAGTTTACCAAATGCTTTTCATTTCAGAAAATTGGGAAGGTTCAACAATTTCAGCTATAGATATATATATATCTATCACAGCAAATTAGATCCCCATATTTATTGCAATAAGTCAGAGAGAAACCAGAAAAAGCAAGTTAAAAGACAAACTTGGCCATAATAATAATTCATCAGAGAGAGAAAGAGAGAAAGATACATTGTTAATGAGGTGTATTACTATCTGATTTGGGGGGAATGGATAGATTGGTCTCGAGCATGAAAGAGAGATCATGCATCTGTGACAACAAACTTTCTACTATATCATCATTGCCACCTGACTGGTTTGAGGTTGTGTTATTCCTTAATGCAACTCCTCCACCATCCAGCAGACCTTTTCCGGTACCGTTATCATCCAAGATTCTGCTGCTGAAAATGCAAGAAACAATTGCATTAATGAAGGCGGTCATCAAACATTAAGGGTCTGTTCGATGAACGGTTTTGAGGGAATTTATAGATTGGGTGGCGTATTATATACAGAGTACTTCGATGAGTATAATGTTTCTAAAAACAAACAATAAAGTTATATGATCACCTATGCTATACATTCAGTTTTTGTAAAGTAATCTGTATCTAGATATAAAGTTAACCCCTCCAAAAGCCTGCAAAACCCTCCATACAAAGTTACAAACTAGCCATATGGGGATGATGATAACCAGACAATCATAAAAAATAATCAATCCAACACATAAATAATGTGCCAAAAGGGGTGACCTATATAGTTGTCTATATATGTTTCATATTTCACAAGTTCAAGCACCCCAATTAAATATCGCAAAGCATCAGACAGATCATGAACAAAATCATCAAAATCGCCTAACTTAAATCTAAGAACATCTACAAACCTGCCCGGGAAGTGATTTTGTTCAGGACCCTTAGTCCCTGATTCAGAAGCACTTTCTTTATGATGTGAACTTAAAAAGTGTTCCGCATGCCAGAAGCTGCCAAAATCCATATCACCGAACTCGTTAGAGCTACTAACCGTGTTTGACTCTAGTGTGCTTCCCAAAGCATCCACAACACCATCATTCTTTGATATGACAGTTGATGCCATAAAATCATTCCAGTCATCAAACATACTTCCATCAACATTTGTCAAACCATAACTGGGTTCATTAGCATTATCAGATACTAAATTATCTAAAGGAACATCAGCGTGATTATCTTTTTGTATGATTTCCTTTTCTTGAGGAGTCTTGACATTGCTTGAGCTGGTAAAATCATTCCACTCATCAAAGGAATCTTCATCTATGTTTGCTGCACTGGAAAAACTGGTTTGCCACTGGTCATCTTGAACCCAATCAGCCTTTGTAGGAGAAGTGTTCAAACCATTTTGTTGAAATTCATTCACTTCAATCTTTGAGTCAAATGGCTCTTCTGGCTGGAAAACTTCAGTTTTAGCAGTATTCCACAAGTCACCTGAACTCCAATCACTCGTTCTATGCAATGTTTCAGACTCACTCCCCTCTTTAGTTCCATACAAGTCTTTCCCATTCCCAAAGATGGAATCCATGTGGTCAGAAAGATCAATGGCAGAACCTACAACAAAAGTATCAGCTGATTGGAAACTCCCAACTTGACTCCCAGAATTAACTGTAGAATCAGAGACAGGATCAAATGTCTTAGAATCAGCACACCTAAAATCTGCCTCCCATCCAGAAAATTCACCACTCTCGTGGGTTGGTGATGGGATGTCTTCCTGTTGAAGGGGCTGAACATTCTGAAACAAACTATGATCATGAATACCAACAGTTTTAGCTTCTTCATTTTTGGGCGGGTGAGTAGTATCGCCAGAAGTATTATCACCCCTTTGTCTAGGGAAAAAACTGTCAAGGTCAACCCCGCCATTATTCAACAAGCTGCTGCCTTGTAGCTCCTGGTTTGTTTCTGGCTTTTCCTGCTTGTTGAATAATCCTATTTTAATGTCTAAGAGCTCAGACAAGGAAATGTTGTCTCTTGATGTACTGTGTCCACTGTTAAACCCGGGCTTTTCGCCCTTCTCACTAGGTGTTCCAACTTTTTCCTGCAAACCAATAGCACCGTGTCACTGACTGGAGAATCACTCTTATGCAAGTCTGCAATTCAAATGCTTAAATAAGCAATAGCATAATGAAATGAGTAAATGATTCAAACAAGACATTAACAGAGAAAGAATAAAGTAGAAGGCAAGTATTAGCTTTTCGCCTTTTCTTGATTGCCCACTTGCTGCATTGCACAAGTATACACATTTCAGCTTGACGGGATAGAAAAATTACTAAATTAGCATATGATGATTTGAGTCGGTTAGTCCAAGTGTCTTAATCATTCTCGTCAAAAGTGATACAACAACAACAACCTAGTAGAGTCCCACAAAAGCCTCATCAAAAGTGATAAAAAAACCAAAAGTGGAATGCATACTACTGGGCATGGAACATCCATGTTGCTCATCAGATGATGAATGAAAAGCCATAACAACTACAGAGTATTAACAAGATATCATTTTGGAACCCTCACATCTATCTTCTTTCAGAAAACCCAGTAGAAAACACAAAGCTAGAAACCCATCTACTTGCCTGATTAAGGTCTCTTTACTTTTATATCCTTGCAGCATCAAATTTGCAAGAGTTCCATTTTCAAATCTCAACTGTGCATTACCACATTGTCAGTTATTTCGGGCAACAATTATCTAATTAACCCCTTCATAAATAACCGTGATTCAGGCTAACCCGATCTATCCGCCATCAACTCATAGTTTTGCCTTCATGGGCATGTCTTAGTTCAAAGAGTATTAAACCAATACATTGTCAGTCAAATCATCTCCTTCATATTTGCAAACTCCCACTTCTATGGCCTACTCGTTAAAGACACAATTCTAAGCATAGTAATTTGGCTCTCTAAAGTCTTGTTACAATTCTTAAAAGAACGCATTTATGAGTCTCCCCTTCAAGATGCAAGATTTGACATACCGATCCATCAAGCCGAAGTGACTGGAGCAACCAGCGGCAGCTAAGAGTGGAGTTGAAGGAAATTGGATCGGGGGCAGATGGGTCGTCCTTCTGGTGCTGTTTCTGGCCGCAGTAAATGCATATCAAAGACTGGAGCCCCCTGAGAAGCCGCCCTCGGCAGCGCTTGCAGCGGAGGTAGGGAGGCGAAGGGTCGAAGTTGGCAATGGCGTCGGAGACAGAAGGCAGTGGGGGGATGCTCGGGTCTTTCGGATCGTAGTCCGGTAAGCCGGACTCCGTCCGGGTCAGGATCTGGACTTGCCGGATCAGATCAGTTAGGGCGTCGTGAGACATCGGAGAATTGCACGTTATGAAAGTTATCGAATTGCTAGGGTTTTCCGTGTTCTTGTGCTCCCAGCAATGGCTAAACTTGGCGCCTTCACTTCAATCAGAGATCACTGGCGGACAGAAATGTCGACGGAGAATCTCGAATTCTCGATCCCTGATTTCCATTCGGATAACCCGACCCTTACAATCTCGATCCAATTTGTCGGGTCTAAGAATCTTGCCCATATTTTCTAGTGGAAAAAATGCTAGAGTCACAAACATATACTCCCTTCGTCTCACTCTCTTTGTCCACTTACCTTTTAGCACACCATCTAATGCACTTCTTTAATCCATTTTATCTTGTAATTTGTATATTAAAAAATTATAGAAATTATATATTAATAATTTATATGTTAAGACAAATCAAACAAGATCACACATGACTATATTTAGGCTTATACATTGAGAGAATTGGATGAGTCAAAATGCTTAGCTGAACAGTTCCAAAAGTCAAAAGTGGACAAAGAGAGTGGGACGGAGGTAGTAGTTCACAAACTTCAAAAACTTGCCTTTTGTGAATTTTAAAATAAAATATCTTTTATTATTTGAATGCATCTTATTTCTAGGAAAGTGTTAAAAAGGTAAATTTGTGAATTTTGTGAATTGTTTGTTTGTGACTCTAGTATTACTCTTTCTAGCTAGATCAGGTACCCCTTCATCCCAAAATTATGTCTTGTTTTGGATTATTAGATCATGTCTAATGGTTGGTTAGCACAATCATTTTTAGAGACAAAATAGTGTAAGACCTTGTGTTATCACGCGTTACTTGAATCTTGGGTGAGCTAGTCATGCCTCGTCACGGCCTGACGCCAACAGGGCCGGCGTGACGCCTCGGACTTGAGCGCCACTTCAGGGATTGCCCCGATGTCGTTTTGTTGGAGTACCTGTTTTTAATTTTTTTAATTCAAATTAGCCGTTAGGCCCAAAAATTGCCTATAAAATTGAGCGAGGAGGAATGGGAAGCTCACCTCCCAAAAATAGGGTGAGCAAAATAACCAGACCGACTGCAAAACTAAAAACTGAAATAACTGATTTGTCGGTTCGAATACCTATTTTCAAGTTGATTTGCAGTATAGAACGGGCAAAAATAACTAAAAAGAACCCTTATAAGTAGGGTGTCGAACCTCAGAGAGACGTGAGTTAATTTAATTTAAACAAAAGTTTACAAAAGTTGTAAAAAGTTTTTGGTCTTTTTTTGGTTTTAGAGATAAAATAAAAAGTGTAAAAGGAGAGAGTTCCAAACAACACAAAGTTTTTTATGATAAAAAGTTAGGGGTAGAAATTGGTAAATTAATTGTCCAATGTTTTTATAAAAGTTGGATTGTCAATTTATTTTTATATAAAGTGTGTGGAATTGCAGAAAAGTATTTAGGGACGCTCTCGCAATTCACCTAAATAATAACCACTCTGACTTTAACACGCTAATGTTAAATCCGGAGTAATTATTTAGTAACAACGGCAACCATAATTATTTTATTGTATGTTTACCCAATTTAATGGTGTAAAAATACAACTCAATAATTATGTCCACCCGAAAGTCTTTAATCCCGGTTAAAGGTAGAGAAGGCTTACGGTGTATTTAAAAAATGTTCTATTTTATGACTATATCAATTTTAGCTCAAATTCCTTTTA